GAGGAGCATCTCTTCACTGACAAGATGGAGAATTCAGAGTCTGCCCTCTGATGATATTCATGCTGCTTGGCTCAGCACCTGTCATCATGGACCAAGCCATGGCTCTTTGTCTTTAACACCTTGTGTTAACCCTTTGCAGCCCTGGGGGAGCATGCCGTCAGCACAAGTTACTGGCAGACTGGTTCGTGTTCCTGGGAAGTCTGAGGGATTCCTCATTTGTCAAGAAGAGGTTTGGGGAAAGAAAGGATCCTCCCTGCTTGGCAGGAGTAGGAATTTCCTTGTGGTGGATGAGAGACATGAAAGCAGAATCCCCTGTGACTTCATTAGGCTGGATGGTTAGCCTGGAGCTGGCTGTGTCTCAAGTATTTTCCAGCTGTCCATGGAGGGCACTTGGACAATTTCCATTCAACCCCACTCCCACATCCCTTCTGAAAAGCCTACAGGGAAAAGACTTCTATTTTTGCATTGCAGTGGAATTCCTGTGGCATTACACACTGCATCCTCTGCAATACCCAGAGAATTCAGTTTGATTTACAGTGCTGTGTGGTACATGTTGGTCTTGCTTTTCATTCACAAGTGCCATCTTTTGCCTTTCCTCAGTAGTGGCCATTTTTATGGCAATAGGACTTTTTGCTGCTCTTGCTTCTCTTCTCTCAACTTAAGCAAAATCAGACTTGAGTTAGAGTTTGGTTGCCCATTCTACCAGCCAGTAGATTAGCAGATCCTTTTGCTCTTTCCCACCTCTGCACCAGCTGCACTCCTATTATTTTTGCCAGAAATTGCTGCTTGCTGAAGAACACCAAGTCTTCTCTACTGGCTAAGTCAACACAGGCCTCAACTTATAACCATGAATAGAAAGATTCTGTCTTCCCCATGGTTTAAACACACGAGAAAGGATGTAAAGGCTTTCCTTGAAGGCTTGGGACAAAGTACGATTTTTCAGCTGCTTAGAATGGAATTTTTGGGTCTTCAAACCTTAATCAGAACATCAGAAATTTAGATTAGGTGTTAGGATTTTTTTCCATGAAAGCAACTAAACAGTGGAGTAGGTTTCCAAGAGAGGTAGTGAAAACTCTGTCCTTGGAGCTGTTCAGGTTTCAGCTGGGCACAGCCCTGAGCAACTTGATGTAATTAGACATGTTTTGTACCTTATGAGGCCAGACTACGTGACCTGTGGAAGCCCCTTCCAGCTGCACTTATGGGTCTCTAAATCCACACCTCTTTGGAGATGGTCATGGAAACTGCTGGACTTCCTGTTTTCATCTCCTTTACTGATTGCACAAAATTTCACACAGTGACATCTTGCCCCATACACACTCATGTTCTCCTGACCCATTATCACGACCACAAAAGCATCAGTGCTGCTCCACTGTACTGCTGTAGAACAGTACAAGATCGAGGCTTCCCCATCCTGCTTTTCCAGCAGCCATGAGTCCCACAGGCGTTCACATGGTAGCTAAGCCTGCCTTGCAGTCAGATTATTCACTAGCACCGTTCAGTTAGCAGTACCATAGGTGAGTACTGGTGAGCACTGGCATGATGGAAGCCCTCATATCTGGACTTACTCCTTCAAACATCATCATTCCAAATGGTGTTCATGCCCACACTCCATGCTAATGATGGCAGGTTATGATCCTTCCTACCTTACTCTCCATTCACTGTTGTATATATTCTTCTTGCAAGCTGCACTCTCCCAGGGGTGCACATACTCCCCAGGCCCAAGTGGCTTTGCCATGCCTCTAGCTGCTCACCACTGAGCTTATTTACATTCTTGGAGAAGTGTCCTCAAAACTGAAGACCTTTTTATGCCTCTTTTCTGTCCTCGCCTTTATTCTCTGTACAGAGAGGGTGTTATTTCTTGGGTGCTTTTTTTTTTCCTCCTCATTATTTTTTTTTTCCCCCACATATCCTTCTGGCTTTTCCTGTGCTTGTGCGTCAGTTTGCAGCACCCACCATGCCGTAAATACCATCTAGTTTGGAATTCTCCAATCTTGAAGGAGCTGGGAAGCTATTTGGGGAGCGGAGGAGATGTCTGTCATTTGGTTCTTTCATGGAGACCAAAAGCTTCTCTGCCATCTCCAGGGAAAATCACAGAAGCGCCGAAAAGGAGGGAGAGCATGACCTTGGCAGTAAGTGACAGGCAAAGACGCCAGTTGCATGCTCCTCATCTCAGCTAAGAATGCCAATGGAAAAGAGGGTTTGAGGGGAATCAGAGTTGCCCATTCTAGGGTTGTTTTGGTCTTGCTCACCTCGTTGGGGACGCTGGCAAGATGTGCTGCTTTCTTCGCCATGATGGGCGAAACTGGACTCTCTTCCTCTCCTCCTCCATCCAATCCAGCTGGGCATCTCCATGCTGGGGCTGCTCCCCCTACCCTTAACACAACTCTGAACCATCCAAATCTTTCAATGGAGGAAATTAGTTATTTATAATTAAGGGATGACCAAAAAATGTTGCTAGTGTCAAGGGAACGGCAGGCGACAGCCAGAAAAACACGATGTCTCCAGTAGAGAGGCAGCGGGAATATCCCTCTGAATAGGGCTGACGTTAGCTCTCGGAATTTGGACAGCCTGGAAGGGTTTGGGGCTATTTTTCCAAGATATCATAGGTCAGGAATCAACATTATTTTTAATTCTGCGTCCCCCGAGCAGCCCTAGTGCATAAGGGAGGCTTTTTCTCCCCTCCATGTACTCTATTTCTATGAAATTTTTGCTTTTCTTCCTTCCGAGTCATGCCACAAATATGTCCTTCAGGTTTATTTATTCTTCTCTCTATCTATTCCTCCCAGCCTGCTCCCATCTTGGTTGGGTTGCAGAGATGGCGTCAGCGTGGCGCGTGTCTGGGATGCTCAGGCGAGACATCACAAATAAGAGATCATGTTATCCTAATTTGCTGTTTCCGGTTGGGAGAGTTTTTCTTTCCACAAGCTTATGCGCCTGGGGAAAACGTGCTGGGAATGCTGCTTTGTGGTGGGAGATCTCAGGGCCTGGTGAAGGAGAGATGGTCATCTCATCCCACCATTAAACGTTGCCTTATGCTTCAGCCAAGATTTTTCTGAAGCAGCTGATGTTTTGGAACTGCTTTGTCACAGAGAAGGTGGCTGAGACACCCAGGACAGGATGGTCTATCAGAATGGAAGCATGGGGAATGTAGTCAGCAGATTCCAGTTATCTGATACTCACTAAGTTGAAAACCTGTGCTATTTCAGATTCAGGGAGATGGTCACACTTGGTTCAACATGCTGTTTCCCACACGCCGTCCTGCTCTAGCGTGCTTTTGAAGTCTTGTTCCTTTAAATTTTTGCTTCACTTTCTCCTCCTTTTCTTCCATTTGCTGTAGCAACCTCTCTCTTTCTAAACAAGTCTGTTGGTATAATAACTCCGCTAGGGATCCTGCCATTTCAAACAGTGTATGCACATTTCTCACTGGTTTCCCTTCTCATTTCACATCTTGGACGAGAACGTGCCTTTTTCCTCTTAGCCCATGTTTAGCTTTTAGTTCTGTCTTCCACAATTCAGCATGGTGAGGAATGCTCTAATGGATACCACTTTCACAGAAGCTGCTAGTTCAAACACAGCCGGTGAGCCTTCATGGCTGGTCCAGTGTAAAGAAACTGTTGCGTTCCCTTCGTGATCCCTCCATGGGGCTCGAGGATGCCAATTGCTCCTGGAAGCATGGGAATAAGTGAAATGCTTTTCACCACCTTAATGTTGCTGTTGGCCTTATGCTGGGGATTTAGTCATTCTTATGACATATTTCCACAATGGTGCGTTTCCATCATCATTCCACAGTGATGTATTTGAAGCCTTTCCATGTGTTTTCTTTCCCCTTAGGATCTCTTAAGTTAATGCAGCCTTCCCCTTGGCTTCATGAACTGTGGGGTCAAGCTCCTCAGATTCTGAGGATTCAGAGACAGTCTAGGGCTACCTGTCCCAGTGCTGTCTCAGCTCATGAGGTTCATGGCACCGATAGTGGAAACACTAGTAGTTAATTTAAAAGAGCACCTGGCACTTGCAGCAGAGCCCAAGGCCCTACAATCCCACTACTATTTTTATTGGAATTGTCATTATTGAGTTAGATCCTGATCCTTTTACAAAGCTGAGGACATGAACTCTGTGAAGATCAACACTGCTGGTGTACCAGTGAATGCAGAATAGATCTGACCTATGCAAAAAGCACCCCACAGATGGGAGAGCAAAACCTAAACTTCCTGACTACCATTCTTTTTTCAATCACTGAGACATGCCAGCCCCACAGATGCAGTAAGGATCATTTCAGAGATGCCTCAGCACCCATTGGAGCTGCAGCATGCTATTCACTGTAGGATGGGTGCAATGTTTCTCACCTCTCCCAGTTCATCTGGGAGATGCGCCCTTCGGAAATGGATATCTTACATATCCCCATTCCAGGTATTTTTTTAAATTCCAATAACTGTTTAGTCACAGTTTGGAGACTGGAGGAGAACGGGCAGCAGTGTCACCATGAAGTTTCCCCACTGCACATGCCCTTTTGGTGGAGCTGTTTCCAAACTTGCTTCTCTCTCCCTTATTTCAGAGCTCCAGAACTTCTATTCTCCTGCAGCCATCCCAGCCAAACCTACTCAAGGGGGATTTCTCCAAGGCCAGGCCACGCTCCATTTTGAGCAGAGCTGGAAGAGAGATGTTTTGGAGCAAAATGTTGTTCATACTCTGCTTCCTTGTGCAACATGCAGGCATGGGGGTGAGGCTGCACACCCTCTGTGCAGTCCATACCTGTCGTCTGCAGGGATTCCCCCTTCTTTACCACCCACCATACTTGTTGCCTGGAGGAAATGGGTAGAACCACGGTTGTGAAATCCTACAAACAGACTAGAAACATTGACAGCAATTCTTTGGATTTGCATGACTGCATCCCACCCAACCTCAGCACTAACCCCTTCCAGCTCAACCGTGGGCTGTTCTCACCTGTCCTTTTTGCTGCTTTGATGTGTTTGCTGACTGTCTGCTCTCCCTTGTCCTTACAGGGCATACATGAGCGTGAAGGAGCTGAAGGAGGCACTGCAGCTGAACAGCACCCACTTCCTGAACGTTTACTTTGCCAGCTCAGTGAGGGAAGAGCTGGCTGGTGCTGCCACTTGGCCATGGGATAAAGAGGCCCTTAGTCACCTGGGTAAGCAAGCTGCCTGTCTAATGGCTTCTCGGGGTTTTTCCACTTCTTTCTCTCAGTTGGCTGTTTGAAAAGATGCACTAGAATTTGTTCTCAGGTAGAGCTGGGAGAAAAAGCAAGCTCGTATTTTTGAGACAAAGACTTTTGTCTTCACTTACGGGATGCTTAGGGAAGTTTTGGGGTTGTTCCTCCAGCTTAGCCCTTCTTTGGCATGGGTTGGCATTCGGCACTGAGCAATTCTGTTCAGGTAGCCTGTGAAAACACTGGTGAAGAGATGGTGAGGAGAGCTGCAGGCTCTGGAGAGGGGGCAAGAGTCACCTCAGCCTGTTGGTTTAGGAAAGGCTGATCCTACAACTGGGTAGGGTGGATTCTCTCAGGCCATCCAGACCCATCCACCAGGATGCTAGGAATGGTCAGCTTCACCAATGACAAACATAAACCAGGAGTCTCAGCTACTTCAGAGCCAAGATTTCAGATACGAGCCACTGCAGAGCAGAACACTGAGCATCATCCACTTCCAAATCCAGCTGCAAATGTGAGGATAACTATCGAATTTAAACCATGTTTTTATAACTTGGCTTGCTACTTGCTGAAGGCATGGTACTCTTTGGCTTCAGTGAATTCAAGGCAGCCCATAAAGGTCATCAGTCCTGGCAGGCTCCAAAATTGTTAAAACTGCAACGCTTCACTAGAATGTAAATGCACTGTGTGTTTTCTCCTATTTCTGCTGTCTCTCTGTTTTCCTGCCTCTCCCTCCACCTCTCCGATGTCGGAGTTTTCTGGCAGAGCTCTTTACACTTTGTAGTCAAAACATCTAAAGTGTTTCTCAATAAGTTACTGGAAATAATTACTCGTGACACCTGCACAGCAGACCTAGACCTTCTGCTTTTACCAGCGCATGATGTGCAACTCTTCAGTTTTACGCTGCTCTTAAAGACCTGTTTTAAATCTCTTCTTTGCCAGCTTCCCTCCCTCAATGGCTTTTCAATGGCATAGTGCTACAGTTGCTAGTTGAGGAAGGCAAATCTCCATGAAATTTATTCCCTCAGCTTCCAGAAATCGTTTCCAAGGTTCGGCTTGACAATCACCTTCCTACAGCAAGTGCTTCAGCCATACATGTTCTCGTCAGACCCCACCCAATGACTTGCAAAGGGTTGTACAGAGGGGAAATCAGGGTAACTGCTTTAATCAAAAGCTTGCATTTAATTCTGCTCTTGGAGCCTGTGTCCAGCCAGAGCCCTTAGGCAGAGTGGCACCATCTGGAAATGTTGGATCGGGGTTTTACCGCAGAGGTTCAGGGGAAGAGGGGTGTTGGCCTGGCTCTGGTGCCAGAGCTGTGAAGTGTGAAGCTGGATCTGAACTTCTCCGAGGCTCTGGCACAGACCTAAGGCTTTGGTTAGAGACTGTCCTTAGGTTTAGGTTTAACGAGCTGGGAAGGGAGGATGACTGACTCTGTTCTCTGTAAACAGTAGGCTCGTCAAGTGTTTCGTACCACACACAATGTGGTGTGGTGTGGCAAATTATTGTCAGCACAGAAGAAATTCAGGACTGAGTAGGAGGTAACTGGAGAGTCTGAGTAAATGCAAAGGTACAGCAGGGAGGAAAGAGCAAGGAAATCTTGGGAGGAACGAATAGTAACTCAAGAAAGTTTCCTGAGCTTTAAGGACCTAGCAGTGGCAAGGGGTGGTGACAGGTCTTCACAGAACAGAGGAGCCAGTCTGCAACAAGACACACTCCTTCCCTCTTTTCAACTGATTTCTGCTAGGCTCCTGTCCCTCCTGATGCTCACATTTTAAAGCCAGCCTGCAGACTGTGTTCTCTCTCATCAGAAATGCCACACACTTTGTTTTCTACAGGCATAACACTCCACCAAAACTGTTCTACTTCGATTCTCCTACTGAATCAGATTGGTCTTTGAGTTCTACTTGACTTCTTCTAGAAGCTAACCAGCCTTCTGGTCACACTCTGCTCTCTACTTGTTTACATATCTCTATCAGAACTGGATGTTCATGGATGATTTCAGGAGAAGTACCATCAGACTTCTTTCTCCAACTCTTTTCTTCTGTTTCAACCCTTTCTCTCATCCCAAAGCTCAGAGAACAACTGTTCCCCGATTACTTTTGTTCACTCCTCCAGTAGTTTTTCAGTCTGGGCTTTGAACTCCATAGAAACTCTTTCATAACACCTGAGCATGTCCACTGAGCAGGCCCTCTCCACATTCCTACAAGCATTTTCAGTTCCTGCAGTTCCGCAGCCAACTAGTAACATGATGGAAAGCACAGCAATAACAGCAGAGCAGCAAGGTCCTGGGTTGTAATAAGTGAGGGTTTGCACAAATGCAACAACCATGAGCACAGAAACAAGAAAAAGAAGCTGCTTACCTGCAAAAGACCTCAGGTACAGCAGGAATCTCCAGCAAGACACCCTTGCCCCCACTGCCAGCCCTTAAATGAGGTCAGGAAGGGGTGAATCCTGGCTCCATCCCTTCTGGTCACTCAGCTTCATTGCATACACCTGAGCTCCCCTGGGTTGGCCCTGCCTTCCCACCAGGTGCTCCATCACTGCTTCAAGCTGTGACTTAGCATTTCTTGTACAAAATACCAGCAAGATGTGCAAAAGGCAATGACTGACTTGGAGAGGGTGACCCAGTCTGTGGTATTTCTGTAGGCCATGTTTCAGCTGCTGTATAGCTGCAAGACAGAGAAAACTTGCAGCCAGCTAGCAGTAGAGGCAAAATCTGAAGTCTGTTTGCACTGCTCCATATAGCCATCATTACTACCTTGATGTTTCCACTATATTCACAGTGAGTTCTTCTCAAATTCAGTGTGTTCTTGCTTGCAATCCAGAATTCATATTCTGAGAACTTGCATGTACATCTCTTTAACTACAAAAGACAGGGACGAAGAATTCCTGTCCTATACAAGATTCATCCCTCCACAACGAAAAGCCTTATCTCCGAATCTCCGCAACGCAATAATATGAACACTTTAAATTTTGTGTATCTGCATGAAAACTGTATTTGCACAAACACGGTAGGAAGGCAACAGAATCATGAATATTTGAAGTTACAAACATTTTCGGTGGTTATATAAGCCGAGGCCATCTTCTGTAGTTATATAAGCGGAGGCCAGCTCATATATCTGGCTGAGGTCACTGGATCCTGAAGGAGGGCCAGTCGTTCCATCAAAGGTACCTTAGGCAATGGCCATCTTCCTGTCTGACTAACGGTCATGGGTTTGTTCCATTAATTGCCATGACTCAGTGCTTGGGGAAGGCTGGCCTGCGAGACAGGTTTAGCTTTGCAGTTTGCTGTTCTTGAGTATGTGTTCTCTGAAACAGACCTGAACCAAGAGCAGCTTGACTTCTTTGGGGTCAACATGAAGCAGAGCCCCTCTGCATTTGCTTGGTGACTACAGCCAGAAGAAGAGCGAGGTCCTGGGACTGGGAGCTCCTGGTTGTGTAAACGGTGATCCTGGGGGTCAGGCATGAGAAGGAGGGCTCATGCAAAGCTCAGTTCAGTCCATTTCCTGGAGGAGGGACAGAGATGAGGGGAAGGTCTGATGTGCAGGGTGCCAGAGAGGAGACTGGTTTTGGTGCAGTGGGATGATGCAAACACTTCCATAGCTTGTGTTCGCAGCTAGGACCCTCCAAGAGGGGAAACAAAGCATCTGGGTCTGAAGCAGGGTCTCTCTGCAGCTCTTTGCTCACCAGGAAGCTGCAGGAAGAATGGAGGTTCTGGAAGTCAGGCACAGTTCTCATGCTGTTTTTAATCCTGCCATCTAATTAGCCACACAAAGTACTAAAAATACGAATGTCCTCATGGAGTGTGGGGGAGGAATGGGCTAGGGGAAGCCAGCAGAGAGGAGGGAGCGATAGGGTATCCCAGCCTTGGCATCTCTCCCTCCCCTGCGACAGCTCTCTCCCTCCTTGTATTGGAATCCCATTTTTTCCCCCTGTTTGGGAAGAATATCGGGTTTCTGCTGGAAGGAGGACAGTTTGGTTGCAGAGCCTCTGGTGCCCCTCTGACCGTCTCTGTGGTTAGTGCTGCAGGATGCGTGCAGGGCTTTCACATCTCACTTCTTTTATTTATGAACATTATTTTCTTTCTGCATGCACATTCCTCCTTCCAGACCTTTGGGCAGGCAGCTCCCTGCCTTGTTCAGGCTTGGGTTTGGCTGCAGAGATGTCTTTTCTTTCTGTTTTGTTTTGACTAAAGTGAAAAGTAGTTTTCTGTCTGCCCACTGGGTTCTCCATCTATGGGGTGCCCTCTGTAGTACTTATCAGCCTGATAAATGGGAGAGGGGCAGCGTGCAGAACCCTTCTGAATGAGAGGACACAACTGAACGTGGAGGTGCTGAAAGGATTTTCAACCCCTTAGCTCCTTATGGATCGAAACCAGTCATAGACCAGTAGGACCAGGAGCTTAAGCAGTGCAAGATCCTTTGCTCTGGTGTTCTGCAACTGGAGTGAAAGAGAACATAGCAATGTTGTAACCATCCTTTGCTCTGGACCAACAAACTGCCCTCCATGCAGGAGGAAGAACAACCAGTGTGAGTTTTCAGCTAGGATATGGTGCCACGTCACAGCTTGTTGTCGTCTCCCACCTTTGCACACACCACAGGACACTCCATGGAAGATGCCACCCCTATTTCTTCACCCCCCTTTCAACCTGTTGGGTTTGTAAGCATTGCTCAGGGCACCTCTAAGGGCTCCTTTCCAGCCCAACCCAGTGTTTGTCCAGCATGGCTCCACAAGAGGAGTCACAGTTCTGCTGATCCCCTGCCAGGGACACTGTGATCTGGAGGCAGCCCTCTCTTGGAAGGAATGCCCTGTACTCGAGGACATGAGGGAGTCTGGTAGTGCACGGAGCTGATTCAGGAGCAGAATTGAAGCTGTCCATGCTGTGGCTGGAGATGGGATCACACCGTGGCCCTCTGCCAGTTTTAACTTTGCTGGCAGGGGTAGCAATCAGCAGCAAAGATGCAGTAGCCGAGGCTTTGCTGCGAGGTAGCTGGCACAGTAAATCCTCCAGAGTCTTGCAAAGGAGCAAGCAAGCTGTGTCAGAGCCAACTATACACTGCACTGCCATTCAGGACAGCTAGGTTAACAGCAGTGGGGTAAAGCCAGCTTGCCATGCCATTCTCCAGCCTTTGCTCCTGCACCATAGGCAGTGTGGAGGAGTGGGGGAAGCAAGGAAGGGGGTGGAGATGGCCACTGAAAAGCAAGAGAACAGGGAGAAAAGAAGAAGAGTTTCCATTGAGATATCCATGTGAGCAGAATAAAGAAAGAGAAGGAAGAGAGAGGAGAAGAAGGAGTAGTTTTGCAGTTTCCCAGCAGGTGTGGCATACAGTCGTTACAGAACTTGCACCCTGGAGCAGAAGTCAGAGATGCTGGCATTGAGCAAAGGCTCTGCTCCTCTCAGCTTTCCTCAGCATCACTGCTCCTTGCTCTCCTCACTGCAGGCAGGTGGGCAGGAAGGAGAAACGTCGTGTCCTGCAGGGTGTTTGGGACAAGGTCAGCATGGACCTGCCCCATGCTTTTCAATCTTCTTTTGGGATCATGCTGAATGTTGCTTCCAGCTGGCAAAGCCAAGTGTGTCAGGACTTTGCTAAGCAGTTTGTCCTCCTCTTCTGCCTTAGGAGCTGACATGCTTTAGCCACCTGAGCCTGTAGGCAAGCTGTCTAACCTAGGGGGAGGTCTTTTGTCCTCTGGTTCAAAAGACAATCGCTGCAAACTCATTACATTTGCTCTGGCTCCAGACTTTGCTTGGAGTTGTGTGCACCAAAGCAGACGCTGACTTGTGGGAAAAGACACAGAGGGAAATACTAGCTGAAATTATTGAAAGCTTTGAGGGCATCGGTGTGAAAAAAGAGGAGAAACTACTCGATCTTTTCCTGCAGAATGGTGGATATGTCCACCTTCAGGTCTGAATCTGGCACCTCAGCGGTGACCTGAGCAGCACAGAGAGAGGAATTTAAGTCAGCACAGGTGAGTCACTGCATCCCACTGTCACTTTCTCCCAGTGATGTTCTCTGTGCTTGCAATTTCAGGTGGAGTTGTCCTCAACCCTGCGTATTACGGCGTGCCTGGCCACACGAACACCATGATCCACGAGGTGGGGCACGTCCTGGGGCTGTACCACGTCTTCAAGGGAGTGAGCGAGCGGGAATCTTGTGATGATCCCTGCAGGGAGACAACTCCATCTATGGAGACAGGAGACCTCTGTGCTGACACCGCCCCAGCCCCAAAGAGCAAGCTCTGCCGGGACCCAGACCCTACCAACGACACCTGTGGCCAGGTGTATTTCACGGGAACACCCTTCAACAACTACATGAGTTACACAGGTGAGCTGCTGGAAATTGGAAGGGGTGACCATTGCTAGTAAGCTGCATTTCTCTTTCTTTCACCTTCACACACAGCCCCCTCCTTGAGTGCTCCTCTCTGGTGGGCAGAGATGCGACAGGCTGGGTTCAACACGTAAGAATGCAATGTCGGACCTTGACGTGCAGCCCCTTTGGGTTCTATTTTTACGAGCGTGCTGAGATGGGACGCTGTTCCTCCTATCAGCACTGGAGCACCGAAGCCCGCAGAGCAATTCTTGTACGGCAGGGTGATGGGCCTCCGCGGATCGGAGCCGCCGTGCGGCTGCTGAGGCAGTGCCATCTTGTGGCATTGGGGACACACGACAGCAGCGAAGCCTGGCCGGGGAGCCGCAGGCGTCTCGCACGCATCCCCCAAAAGAGCGTTTGGGGATCGGGGAAGGTGCACACTGCCGTGCTCCCCATCCAGTCTCTGCCACCCCCAGCCCGACCTATATGTTCCCCTTCGTTCCCAGACGATGACTGCACCAACACCTTCACCCCCAACCAAGTGGCCCGGATGCACTGCTACCTGGATCTGGTGTACCAGCGCTGGAGCCAGGGCAAGAAGCCCACGCCCATCCCCATCCCACCCATGGTCACGGGGCAGACGCAGGATTCCCTCAGCATCTACTGGCTGCCCCCCATCAGCGGTGTGATCAACGAGAGGTGAGAGCTGCTGCTGTGATGGTTGCTGCCGTGGTTTGGGGCTTGCACGGGAGCCTGATGAAGGATCCAAGAAGCCCCCTGCGGTCCAGACCCAATCTTAAGTGCCCATATGCTGCAGCTGAAGCTTCATGAGCGATGTTCTCCTTGTATTGGCTTGTATGAGTGGGGATCTGCTGGCAAAGCTGCTCAGCACAGAGCTGGGAGGTGGACAGGAGCCTTTCTGGAGTCGGTGAAGGCTTTGAGGGGGCTGGCATGCCTCTCACACCCCCCGCCAGCTGGCAAGCCTCAGCCCATCCATACGGGCAGCCATCCCCGCAGCTGCCTGGTGATGGGGGGAGATACACAGCCCCCAACCTTTCCCTGCCCCTGGGCAGCTCCAGCAGAGCCCCCTGCTATGAGAGCAGGCTGCTGCACCAGGCTCTGCCACCAGCCTTCTGCTTTCGGGGTGCTGGGAAGGGAAGCCAAGGAGCACTGGGAGGCGATGCCAATTCTTAAACCCAAGAGTGCAATCACGGAATGAAAAATGAGCTTCATTTAGCACTTATTGTATAAAATAGCCATTTACTAGGAGGAAATGCAGCCTTGTGGTTAAGGCAGGGAGCTGGAACCGCAAAAGCTGGGTTTCGTTCCCAGTGCTGTCACAGGCTCCTGGTGTAAGTAACTGGGGGTAAGTCAGGAAACGTTTCAAGCAGGAGAAACGATGCTGAGGAATCAGAGTCATTGAGCTAGCGAGCTGTGCACAGCCTTAGTGTCTTCTCTTCCTCCTGATAGTGCCAGGAGGTCAACGGAGGTCTGGACAAGCCTCCAGCACTTCTGCTAAGCAGCCCCTCTTACTAAAACTGTCCAGTTTCCACCAGGTTTCAGGTCTGTGCTTTTATTATTGGACAAGAAGCATAACTTGGTGAGACTTTGAAGTTGTTTTAAAGCTTTTTTGCAAAGCTGTCCTTTGCAATTCAAATGAAAAACATTGTTTGAGGGCAGCTGGGACAAGCAGTGGGTCTGTGCTCTCTGCCTTCTCAAATAAATGGTGATGGGCAAGAGCCTGACCCCTGCCCAGGCATGAGAGCCTCACAGTGCTCATGGCTTTGAGTCAATCCAACAAATCACTTTGGTGGGACTGGAGCAGTTTGTGAGCAGACTCTTCCAGGACTCTCTGGGACTACCCAGAGAGAATCATAGAATCATAGAATCACGATGTTTGGAAAAGACCTCTAAGGTCATCTAGTCCAACTATCAACCCACTCCACTATGCCCACCAAACCACATCACTCAGTGCCATATCTCCACAGTTCTTGAACACCTCCAGGGATGGTGACCCCACCACCTCCCTGGCAGCTTGTTTCAAGCTTCACCACTCTTTCTGAGAATAATTCTCTTCCTAATATCCAACCTGAACCTCCCCTGGCACAACTTGAGGCCATCCCCTTTTGTCCTATTGCTGTTACCTGGGAGAAGCTAGATCCCTAGACTGAAATCTAGGTAGACTACGATCCTGCCTGGGTAAACTTGGATGGTAAATGAACTGGTCACAATTACACATGTTGTTCCTTTGCATCTCTGGTCTGCAGGGAACTGGACCCGCTCTGCGATGACTGTGCTGAGGATGGCACTTTTCGGCAATACGTGCACGAGGCCTCATCCCCTCGGGTCTGTGACTCCTCTGGCTACTGGACCCCAGAAGAAGCAGAAGGTAAACTCTTCTCTTTCCTTGGCTGTGAATCCCCTGAGCAGAGATGAGGTTGGAAAAAGAAAATGGAGCCTTTTCTCTCCCTGACAAGCGAATTGTCTGCTTGTCAGGGAGGCTCGCTGATGCAGGAGACCAGGTAAAGTGATCCCACAGGCTGTCTGTAGTGTCCACGCTGTTGTTGGAACATGTGGATCCAGAGGACCTGCTGGTTCTGTGCATTTACACATGCATCAGCCACCAAGGCTGACAGAAAATGAGTGAGGGCTGAGAAAGTACAGCTTGGACTTCATTGTCCCCGTGGATTGAAGCCCATGCACTGAGAACACGAGTGTCAGGATGTAGCTGATGCTCAGCATCTGAAAACTCATCTCTAGATTTTGCATTTCATGGAATTATCGCTTGCCAGCAGTACAAATCACACATACACGCACAAAGGCAAGTTGAAGAAATACACAAATTTGTGCTTATTCAGTGATACCAAACAAATGAAAGCTTGGCTCATTTATCTTCAGTGGTTCCTGTTTCCCCCGCCTGTCTGATTCACTGGCAAATTAAAACTACAGCTGGAAGTATTAGATGTTATTTTCTCCTTTGCATCAGCCTGTAATTACCACAAGCGCATGTTGGCTCTGTTGAAAAAGAGACAGGTTTGGGGTTTTTTAGAAGACTGATGCAGGCTTTAAACAGATGCAGGCTTTGAACTACTGGGCCCCAAGGGATGCTTGCAGTTTTTGGTGAAGAGGAGAGTATTTTGCTACACTAGGCCGAAATCTGGTGATGCTTGGTGGGACTGAAAGCCCAGAGCTACCTTTCTCCTGCTGAGTGCAATAGAAGTGCACTAGGTCTGCACCTGATGTAGCATGCGTCCCGATGTCCTTATCTCCATTGGTTGAAGGCAGTAAGACAAGACTGTGCAGATCTGATGCTTGCGCGTGTAACCAGGAGGTGGGTCCTCACCCTTTGCTCTTCATTCCTCCTGCCCAGGCCCCCCGGATGTGGACCAGCCCTGTGAGCCCAGCCTGCAGGCCTGGAGCCCGGAGCTCCACCTCTATCACATGAACATGACGGTGCCCTGTCCCCAGCCGGATGGCTGCATCCTGGAGCTGCGCTTCCTGCACCCAGTCTACCCCGACTCCCTCACTCTCTGGACCACGTACCTCTCCACAGATGCTCCCAAGGCACTGGCTGATATTGAAATCCTGATGGAGCAAGGGGAGTCCATCCATTTGGGCCCTCTGGACACTTACTGTGACGTTCCCTTTACCGTGAAGCTCAACATCCACAAAAAGGTGTCCGGGGTCAAAATCTACACCTTTGACGAGAGGATGGAGATAGACACGGCCCTGCTGACCTCCCTCCCTCACAGCTCCCTCTGCTCCTCCTGTAAGCTCATCCAATACCGCATCCTCCGGGATCCCCCCTTTGCCAATGGTTCCCCTGCCACCTCTGTGCAGGTGCACCGCGAGTTTGTCGACACGTGAGTGCTGCCTTTTGGTCCCAGTGTGAGTTCTTATTGTGAGAACTGCCGTGCTCAATGCTGCGAGCAGATTCCTTGTTCAGAGGTCAGGAAGCTTGCTGCAGCCCCATCGTGCTAGCACAGCCCTTGCTAACGAGAAGCAGCTCATTAAACCCAGAAATATGATCAGTAAAATGATTGTTAGAGTTAATGCAACTTCTCCCCAGCTCAGACTCTAGGGGAAAAAAAAAAGGCAGGCCCCTCTGCATGACCTAGCAGCAGCCCTCTTCTCACAGCCCCTGCCTCTGGCATTTTAATGTACAGAGACATATATCAAACCACGATGCTGCCTGGGTACAGACATGTGATTTCGATAGCCTGGGTGAGCAAATTTGTTGCAGATGAATGGATTCTTCTCTCCTGCTCATTGTTCATGCCTTCCGTTCCTGCAGGGAAGTCACACCTGGGCAAGTGTACCGCTATCAGGTGCAGGCAGTATCTGGGACAACCTTGGGAGAAGCATCCCCACCACTCGTACATGTCCATGGAGCACCCTACTGTGGGGATGGGAAGGTGACTGTGTAAGTCAAGAAACCCCTTCCTTTCAGCTGAGGGTCTTGAAGCTGTTGGGTCACCCTGCCCCAAAGGGAAGCCTGGGGTTGGTCCTCCACCCAGGGGTATATGACTGTGTTGAGTCCTCCCATCAGAATGGGCTACAGAGCTTGTGTTTTGTAAAACATCACATGTACAGGAGATGGAGGCACTCCTTGTAAGGGGCAGGGTCTGGATGAGCAATCCAACCTGAACACTCTCCCTTTTTTAATCTCCTGGAAAGATGTGGTGTCTTCCTTCCTTTATTTCACATGTTGTCCCTCTGTGGAAATGGACCCAAGATATTGAGTCCTCACTTGTTATTAGGCAGAAGCACCTAGGAAACGTGAGTCAAAGGTGTGAAAAAATCCTGCTGTGATCCTTATAGGAGCCTGGAAGAAGAATGCGATGATGGGGACTTCCTGGACGGAGACGGCTGTTCCAGGAAGTGTAAAAAGGAAAAAGGTTTCAACTGTGTTGGTAAGTCCAAATGGATTTAGGCAACCTTACTCAGCAGGAATCAAACCAGTGGACTACTCACACCTCCCTCATAGCAGTCCATAGCACCACATCACAGTAAAACGTTGGTCTGCAGCTGGAGTCATCTCCAAGGCATGCCAGGTCCTTGAGATGGGAAATCCCAAGGCCAAGTGGCCAGCATGCCACTTAGATAGGAGATATACGTGGCTGGATCCCAGTTTGTAAGCAGGGCATTCTTCATCTCCTTTAGGGGAGCCAAGCCTGTGCTATGTGCATGATGGAGACGGTGTGTGTGAGCCCTTCGAGAAAACCACCAGTGTCATGGATTGTAGTCCCTACACGCCAGATGGATACATGGACCTGTGGGCAGCAAAAGCTTTTGCCTCCCATCAGGATGAGAAGTCCTGCCCTGTTTCCTTGGTCACCGGAGAGCCTGTTGCAAAGGTGAGATTAAGCATGATCAAAATAAATATATTAAAAAAAAAGGTCTTTAGGTCTTTTCTAGCAATGTCCATGCAGTAAAGCTGGGGAATTCACTGCCTGTGCAGGAGCATACTAAAGAAGAAATAAAAAAATAAATCAGTGCAATTCTGGACTACTGTGTTCCTATGCAGAGAGCCAGCAGATGACTGGGACATTTCTTACATCCCTCTTTCAGCAGTTACTAGGGCCAGGAACTGCAGTGCATGGAGGTCTCACCCAAACAAGGAGCATCTCCTCTGCACCATACAGTTTGACAAATAGTGACCACCCCTATCCCACCAGCATGATGTACAACTTGGAGCATAGGAGTAGTGCTATAAAGTCAAATAAATAAATAAATAGAATACCTTATAAGGTCAGGGCCTGAAAGGATAAAATCACACGTGCATCAACATCTGTGTTGCTCTCAAGATGTCTGTTCTGGAGCCAAAGCAAAAATCAATGGGAGAATTCCCATCTTTCATATGGGCTTTGGAGCAGGGCCCTGGAGGTCTAGAACGGGATTTCACATGATCAGTATTAACATAATGTATGTATATTCTTTGCTAACAAACTGAAGAAGGGGAAGAAGCGTAGAGAGGGCACATATTTAGCTGTCTGTACATGCACTTCAGTTGACCTGATGTAAAGCACATTCTTCACAAGACCCAAATCATGATTAAATTGTTGGTTCACGTGTTCAGTGAGCAGCCTTGGCCTTGGGTACCTGCTGCTCTTGTAGGACACATGTACCTATCTCCTAGGCTTTGTCCTGCAGGCCTATGGAGATGCCTGATGTTACTGATGTGGCTGAAATCTGGCATTCAGGCAAACAGTTTGCAGCTTCAGATCTTGTTGACTCAGTCACAGGGACTGTGGTTCTCCTACCATCCTAGAGCCTGGTCATTACTGCCTGTCATTAGCCCCACGGGCAGTACCTCAAGATCTTATTTACATCATCCTAAAAGGACAAAAGTCTAATGTGCATGGGGTGGGTGGTGAGCTGTTAATCCCACAACCTAACTACCTTCATGCTAGGAAATATCGTATCTCTGCTTCACACTGCATTGTGCCTTCCTTTAGAGAATTAAAGAGAGCCCGCAAAACCTTTCTCCCACTTTCTTCTCTTCTTTCTGCATTAAAAAAAAAAAAAGCAAACCAAAAATGCTCTCCTTTCAGGCATGTAAATCCTACCTTCACGCTGTGCCAAAGGACCTTTCCCAGACTGCTTGGTTCCCATGTACTCCCAGCCAAGAGAACACTCAGGATCCAGATGAGAAGATGCCCTTGAGTGGAGAGAGAGTTTGGCTGAAGGTAAGCAAGGTGTGCAGTCAGGGATGAGAAGATTTGCTTGCCTTTGCCCCAGCACTTTGGTGACTGAGGCCATTCCTTTTCTGTAGGAGCTATAGGAGTCTTAACTGCTGCTCAGATAGGACCTGTATCCCACTGAACTCTTTGCAAAGCCCACAGCAGCCAGACACAGTACGCAGGTCCTGTCGCTGCTGACCCCATACCAGTCCTGGGCTCTTTTGGGAGAGAGCCTGGAGCAACAGACCTCTTCATCCCAGCAGACAAGGGAGCAGGGAAGGGAAGAGCCAAGGGCTTAGCCGATGTGATTGTTACAGCACTTATTTTCTGGCCGCAGCTGTGGTGCAGAGGTTTTTGGTTCCTGCCTGGTGTTGCTGGAAAGCTGGGCTTGCTGCCTCCCTGCAGCCTGAGGAGCACCTGGCCTGCCTTGCAGGAGGCCTTCTGCACAGGACATCAGCCTGGGGCTCTCAGAATCACACGACAGAATCATAGAACAGCTTTGGCTGGAAGGGACCTTAAAAATCATACAATTCCAACCCCCTGCTGCGCGCAGGGCTGCCACCCACTCAACCCAGAGTCCAACTTTGCTGTTGCCTCTCTACCCTCTGAGCTCCTCTGCCTCTCCAAAGAACTTCCTTTAACTGTTTATTTTTTTTCCTTCTGTCTGTGCTCACAACCTACTTTCCAGCTTCAGTCTCTGGTGCCAGCCATGACAAATGGACCTCCTTTCTTCTTTTGCTAGCATGAAGGCAGAAATCTCCCTCTGCCCTACCTAGATGAAAGCTTGCTTTCCACCTCTCACCAGGGGTTAAAGCATGTTCCAGTTTTATTGGAGCTTGTGGTCAGTTCTCTTCCTCTATGGATGTTTATATTAAAGACTTTCATTACTGGTTCTCCATGCTCTCTTTAGGAGTGCTATTATTTTCCATCCATAAAATTATTTATGGACTAGTAATAAATATGCCTCTTTTTTTTCCTCCTCTCTCTCTTTTTTTTTTTTCTTTCTTAATAATTTGCCTGATTGGTAACATATTGGGTTGGGAAAGACGGAATCTTGTTGACAATTTGCTTAGCACACCCGCCTGCATGGGCAGGAACTGTTCACACATGCGTGTGCACAGTTTCATGGCCACTGATCCCCATGGCCATTTTAGAGCTGCACCTGTGTCACCAGGGCTAAAAACATGCCACAAGGCTTGTCACAGTGCAGGAATTACTTCCCACTGCCTTGCTGAAGAAGTGGCACCGGTGAGCAAGGGAAACTTTGGGTCAGGCTGTAGGCAGGCTGGGGGCAAGAGGTGCACGTGGCTGTGCCACCTAATGAGGCATCCATCTACCGTGCAGATGGGAATAATTACCATTTGCAGATCCGTGGCCATGCTTTGTTCTCTGTTTCCAACACATCTGAGGAAGAGAGGAATCAAAATCACTTGGAGGCAAGTCAGGATGCGTAACACACAGGAAATTAAACGAGAAGGGGGAGAGAGAGGGAGAAGAGAAATTAAGATAGCTTGCTGTGGTCAAGCATGAAATATGTAAAAATAAATTAAAAATATTAAAAAAAAAAAAGGAAAGAACTGGGATGTTAGATGAGTCAGCTGCTGTGGCTTTAACTTGGGGCCACTCTGCAGGCTGGCAGACCTGAGCTGATGCAGAAGGATTTCTCCTGCTCCAGTCTATGCCCATGTCTCTTCCACCCTTTGGCTGCTGAGTGAGGATGGGGAACAGTGGGGATAATACCTTCCTCAGTCCCATACCAGCACTGGAGTAGAGCTGAACCCCACAGTGCCTATAAGCAATGCCTGATGGGATCAGCTGGGACTTCTCCCAAACACAGCTTTGCTTTGAATTCCTGGGATCCAAGTATACCTATGTTCAACAAAAACACTCTATAGAGCGGATCTGTATCAAAACACATCTTGGTGCTGGGGTGGGGGAGAAAAACATTTCTACCCTCTTACTTCCAAGGAACATCTGCCCCACCATGCTTGATGGCATGCATTTCCTGGTTGTCTACTGTAGCTTTCAGGGCTGCAGACAAGCAGGGAGCTGTTGGCTCCTTGAGCAGGCAAGACATCCTGCCACAAATCTTTCCCCACGCTGACTGACAGACAGCCCACAGTCACTCCAAGTGCTGGGGCCAGTTCTCATCTTCAATGGAAGCATTGCAGTGGTGCTATTTGTGGCTGTGCTCTCTGGATGCATCACTTGTGGGGTGTATGGAGGGTGAGAGTGGGGGCTGCCTGGGTCTTGGTTATGTGCTGCCCACCTCTCTCGTGGGATCACAAAAGTTACATTAGGTGTCCTCGCTCTCAGGGTCTCCTTTGCTCTCCTTGCCCAGGTGTGCTTCGAGAGACCCGTGGTGCCAACCTCCATCCTACTCTTCCTGGCCTCTGATGGCACCATCCCAAGCAACCAGCACAAACCGCGGGTGACCGTCCAGCTGGGTGATGTGGATGGGCTGAACCACTCTTTGGGTGAGCATTCTGTGTGCTATGCCACCTATCCATAGCGTCTTGGTAGGGACATTGGCAGCCATCTGTCACTGATTTGGGAGCTGATATCCATCTTTCACCTTGCAACACTTTCTGCTTCCCAAACATTGTTCCAAGCTGATCCATTGGGATGTATGAACAAGCAGAGGAAGAAAACCAAAATGAGAGAAAAAGCTCCCAGCTAGCAACTTTCTATCTCTTGCAGGGACACATGAGCTGTCATGCCAGCAAAACCCACTCATCATTAGCATGACCCACGGGCAGGAGCCATCATCCCTCTGGGCTGGATCAGTGCTTCTCAACTTCTCCTCACCGCTTGTGGGCATTGCAGCTGTGGCCCTACGGACACTGGCTGTGCCCAGCCCCTCCGAGCCCCCCATCTGCCTGCTGCAGCACAAGGAAAGACATGGCCAGCAGCACTACAGGTATTGACTCCCCAGGTTCTTATCCAGGGGCTCTGGGCTTTAATTTTAATGTTTTTACATCTATATGCTTGCAAGCATGAGTGGCGGGGTTGGATCCAATGGTTTTTGGAGGTCCATTCCAACCCCAACAATTGAGATTCTCTTTGAGTTGTTTCCATGGTTATTCTCTGATGGGTTTGGAGTTGTCACTAGAAAGTCCGCTGTCAGTAGACTTGATTTGTTTATATTGCTGTGGAGGGAATAGGGCAAATAGTGTATGGCCTGTGCATCTGTATAGAGCTACACTAGAGGGCTATTTCCTGATGGCAAAACTAAGTTCTCTCTGCTAAGAAGTTGTTACTGAAGATTACTGAAGCTGAAATGTGGGTTTCTTCTGCATAAGCTTTACCAACATCAAGATCATCAAATCCAGTCACCGACCCATCACCACCATATACAGTATTATCTCACCCCATTCTTCCACACACCATGGGGCACATTGGTCCCCACAGCAGCTGGCACCCTCCCTGTGCTGACTTGTGCAGCCTCACTACAACATGTTGGTATGATGGTAGCAGCCACAGTGCTAATTGATGTCAGTCACTCAGCTGTGCCCACTTGTCTTTATAAAGCTGTAAATAAGAGGCAGTGTTTACAGAATGGGGAGCTCTTTCCAAGTAAGAAAAGTGAGGAAAAACACAGGGAAGGACCAATATCCAAGGCAGACTAAGCCAAGAGCATGACAGAAGTGCAGACACGAGGAGGATGAGGGGATAGTGCTCAGGTTCGTCCAGGAGGGGCAGTCAGGCTGGCAGCTCCTGGTTATTAAATCCATGCAACTGGGAATGCTGAGTTTGAACCTGAGCTTTTGTGGAAGCACTGAGAACAAAGGGCTCTGGCTGGGGTCAGAATATCACTGCTGCCATCCTTACTTTTCTTCTACTGATGACCCTGGATGGACAAACATCCCTGATAATGAATGAGTGTGTGTGCCTGTCTAAAAGCTGTGATCACAGTGTGATTGATTTATGTGGAGCCCCAGAAGCTGTGAACATCCTGCAGTTGCTTTTGACTTTTTTTTTTTATTTAAAGTGCATGTGTGATTTATACAGAAACATAAATCAAGGCGAGTCAGCATATAAATATTATTCTCAGCCTTACATTAAAGGATCAGTGTCCACCTGAAATGCAGACTGTTTCCTCCTGGTAGCTGTTAGAGCTATGTACACACATGCTTCCAAGCCCCCAGCCAACTGATGTGGTTTTTCAATTACATTTTCTCATCCTTTAAAATAATTTCATTCTCTCATTGCTTGGGAGCTTCCCATCCCCCCTCAGAATTGACTGAAAGGAGGAGCAGACATAGCTGAGCATCACTTGTGTATGGGCAGATGTAAAAGGACAAATAGCAGAAAGCAAATGTTATTCTCTTGATAGCTCCATAGAAACACATAGCTGGTGAAAGAGGAGGAAGTCCAAGATCCTGTCAACTTATTTCTGCTAGACAACAGCAGAGAGTGTTCCTAGGCACATCCCACCTGTGGGAAAAGCACTCTAAGTCTCCCACAGCTAACAGGCTCAAGTGATGAAGTGCAAGCCTGTGTGAAGCCAGCTCCCCCAGCACCAAAGCACACAGTGCCTGCTGTCCCCTGCAAATGGCCATGGAAAGAACCAATGGGACCCTTGAGCCTCCTCTCTCCTTTCAGTGCCTGCAGCACTGAGCTCTGAAGGTGTAGTGCCATGGCTGGGCAAGAGGAAGTCAGCCAAGGAGCTGGTCTTTGGAGAAGACATATTCTAGAGTGGCTTCCCCTGGCCAGAGATTCCAGCCATTAGCAGATGTTGGGCACAGGGCTGAAATAATCCAAATCACACTGTCTGAAGATGTTTCTGCTCATCAGCCAGGCTGCAAGAACACCCAAGTTGTTCTCTTCAGCTCTCTGTTGCCATCAGGCAGCTCCAAGCACCCCAAACACGGGCTGCTCGCCTCTCTGCATGGCTTCCCCTGACCAGCTGCGAGGTGATAGTATATCAAATTACAGCTTATGCTCGTGCCCTTAGCAAACACACTGAGTGAATCAGATCCACAGAGTTTTAGGAGTAGGAAGTGTTATTTATAGTATTACTCTCTTGGATAAGAGGCTTGAGTATTTAGAGGGGGGCTAAGCTCTGATTTACGATCTCCAGTAGTCTCACTAATAATAAAGGATCTGCCTCTGCTAAGGCAGGAAATATCCAAGTGGGTTTTTTTCTCTCTTATTGTATTCTTTAAAACCTATTTCATCTCCAAAACAAATGTACAGCGGTATTTCTGTTTTTCAGGAGTAATAATTGGTTTCCCATAAAGACAGGTGGAGTCTGGGGAAAAAAAAAAAAAATCCCCTATAAAAAAAACAACAGGGATATAAATTCTTAAGAGGTTTAGAGATATTCTACTGTAAAAGATCACAGAAGATCTGTATTATTCCAGTAAAGAGCTGAATGGACCATTCGCACGCACCCAGCCTCACATACACAGTATGTGCATGGAAGTGCTTTCCTAAAATAAACCAGGAGAGGGACAGTAACAAAAGCAAGAAAGAAATGAGATTTGCTGACTTTGGTCTAGAAATGCTCATTGCCAAAATAATAGATATGGTGGCTTGGTATTTCTGTAACATCTTCCATCTTGAAGGATCTCAAAGATCTCAAAGTGCTTTGCAGGCTTAGGGAAACAAAGGGATTGCATTTTTGATGGTGAAATTCAGCAGGCATCAGACACTAGGAAAGAGCATTTCCTCCTGCGTTAGGAGGAAAGAGCTGCCTTCTCCTTTCAGAGCTGCTTTGGCCATCACAGATGGAAGAGCAAGACCACAGCAGATAGATATTCCTCCTCACACATTGCTCCCAGCACCACAAATCCCCTCTCCACTGTCTCAGCCAGGGCACATTTTGCCTTCCGAACACAATTAAAATAGGGCAAGATCAAGCAGAAACCAGGCTTTTAATGAGAATTTTCCTGAGAAAAATCCAGACTTTTTCCTGAGAATTCCCATCTGCAGATATGGGTGTGCCCAATGTGAAGCCTGACCCAGGGACTCTCCTTTGGGATTGTCCTTTCCCAAACTTAGCAACCCCATGCTGCACCCAGCTCGAGGAATGCTGCTCCCATCAGGATGCCATCCTACCATGCTCCAGCTCTCGAACTTTCATGCTTTTCTTTACATTTTAAGAACTGAGCCGCAATCCTCCTGTTTTCCTTGGTACGGGCTATAGATCGAACCAAGGGAACGTTGTTCATTTCCTCTGTTATTTTTATTTTTAGCTCAGCTTTGTTTTTAGAGTGCTTTATTTTATGCTAGCATATGCTGGGAAGTGACTTGGCAAGTTAACAGGAGAGGTGCTACAAAATGCAGTCTGCATTGTGTTTGTGTTTCCTGTGTGACACCCTCAAAAAGCTCATTTAACTCAAGAGCTGGCTTTGGCTTTTTTCTATATGGAAAGGGTGACAGGGAGAGAAAAATCATTAAGGCAACTGCTCATTAGAGAACATTGCCTACACAGCACCACGCACATCTTCTCCTACAGGAGAAAACCTCTCAAGAACCAGAGCCATGATCCTGACCACCACCTTCCCCACAGCACGGGCTTGCCTTCACCTTGCCCTCTGCAATCATGCTTATGAAGTGGATGAATGAACATCCTAATGAGAGTGAACTTCCCTAAGAATGAGCCCAAGCAGCACACCAGCATCTCCACACAGCCCCACCATCACAGGAGTGCCAAAGATGGGAGAACAGCCCCTGCGCAGGGTCTGAGATAATAACAGGATGAATAGTACAGCAATAGTAGCAGGGTGGCAAAATCTTTTACTCCTGCAAATGAGGACAAGCACAAATGAAGGAATAACAAACATGAAGAAAAAAAAAAAAGCCACTTACTTTTGGAAGGCCTCAGGTAGGCAGTGATCTCCAACAAGATGCCCTCACCTCCACTACCAACTCTTAAATGAGGTCAGGAAGGGGTGGATCCTGGCTCCATACTTTTGGTCACTCAGGTTCATCGCATACACCTGAGCTCTCCTGGGTTGGCCCTGCCTTCCCACCAGGTGCTAAATCACTGCTTCAAGCTGTGACTTAGCATTGGATGAGGAACTGTATGACACGAATGAATAATCAAATCAATCTATATCATAGAATCGTAAAGGTTGGAAAAGACCTCTAAGGTCATCTGGTCAGACCATCAAGCCATCACCACCATGCCCACTAATCACATCCCTCAGTACCACCATGGTATTGGATGGACCAATGAAAATGATTGGACGGATTGATGTAAAGCCCCCACTTTCTGCACTGTAAATATATTTTGGTGCAGTAAACAACAGGAACTCTCTGGAAATATATTAAGACTGAGCTCCTCTTGTTTCTTTTTCTGCTTTTGCCTCCTATGGTTACAGGAAGGCCAAAAGATCATTTGACATCTTAGCAGTCAGTGCCTTCTCTCTATCTGTGGGGTGGATGACAGTGGATGACTCACAGGGATGTTATTGTTTTGGCAAGTTTCTTTGGGAGTCACGTAGAGAAGCAAACACCTTCTCTTGAGGTGGCAACCTCAGTGAAGATCTTAATCAAGAAGCATCACCACCGTTGGGTCTGTACATGCAGCCTGCTCCCACAAGGATGGTTGCCATCTGATTTACCGTAATGCTGTGAGACCTTTCCTCTTCATGAGAAACATGCCCGAAGGGAGAAGAAATTCCCAAGTATTTCCAAAACACCTTTCCTCATTTCCTAGCTATCCTTTTTTGCAACATTGGAGTAAACATCTTTTATCTCCCTGATGTTCTGCGCTACAGTCTGGACTCCACCAGCGCACAAGCAGTGACTACTTTTAACTTCAGGAGGTTTGGCTGAAGGCTTTACCTTTCCATCAGCACCTTCCATAGCCCCCCAGACTTGCACTACGAGATGAACTTCATATAATGATAATTTTCCCCTGTTAAAGTTGGATCTCGAGCTGTTTTAGCAGCAATGTTTGGGTTGAAAGCTTAGGTAGATACTACAGCAATTTATGGATGATTTATTATACTTTAAACAGCTGCACTGTATTTGACTTGGCTTAGCTTGACTTGAGTAAATCCTTCAGTATTCTCCGAGTCCTCTGAAATAATGATTGTAAAATGCAAAATTTTGTCTATTTCAGAATTTGGGATTCATTACAACAAAATTAGCTCTTCTTACTGACACACTCACCTCTGGTTCAGTGTGTTCCCTTGGAGGTAGGTGCCTCTAGCATTATATTAAAGAAGGATCCTGAAGGAAAAGCTCTACTCTAACTTTGTAGAACTGTTCCACTTTCAAAACAAAGCTCTTATCATTCCAGAGCAATCAGGGCCATTGCTTGGCAGAATTTCTCAAATTTCCAGATCTGAAATTTTCTTTGATGTGTGAGTTATGGAACTTGATGAGCCCAGAAATCATGCAGGCTGGTGCTGATGTGGAGTGAGTTAGGAGAAAAAGCCTGGTATTTTGTAAAAATGTTGTTGACAAATCATTAGTCTGAGCTTCAAAAGATGCTGAGATAAAAATGGAAAATGGAAAAAAGAAAGCCAAAACACTGGCTTGCCATACGTCTTGTATGGCCTGAATCAGAAATGGCCAAGTGTCAGGGGTTTGCAGCTGTGATGCAGGAATTTCATTTATCATCAAAAGGAGAAAGATCTCCTTCATGCTGAGATCAGAACTGGGCTAACTGCACCGTTTCCTTGTCCAGCCTTCTCTGGGGTGTTCCAGCAGCTGGGAGCAATGATTTATGCCCTCGTGCTACCTGAGTAAGCAAGGCACGTGGGTTGCAATGGGGCTGTTGTCCTGCATTTGTATGTCAACAGGCTCAAAGGATCCTGTCCCAAAGTATTACAACAGTATTGATAACCATAAAAGAAATGATTGAAGCAAGGCTGTAGCTAGAAAGATGTATTTTTTAACTGAGCTTACTGGTGTATTTGAGAAGAGCAGTTTTCAGCAACGTGAGCCCCTCGTTGAGTCTGGAATAACAACATCAGTCTGAGAGCTCAGCACCACTCAAAGCTCGGGTACATGCCTCAGATCATGTCCCATCTGAGGCGTGGTGGGTTTTTGTTAGTCACACAGAGAGTGGTGATAGGTTAATTATCTTCTGGGGCAAGGAGAGAAAGCTAATTATTTCTGAAAGATAGCTGTATACACATACAGACAGTGTGCAAGAGTGTACATGTGTAGTGCATATAAAAATTAATGTTTCAATCCCACATTTTGATCCAGAATTATAAATCTCTTACTACCTCTATATAATATTGTCCATATATAACGAGGAAAGAAACTTGCTTGTCTCCTGATCTGCTTTCTACCAGCTCCATCAGCTGTTTCCTAACGAGCTGAAAACAAAGCAGTGCCTGGCGGTGTTGAAAGCGATCTGTGCTCTGCCATTTGTTGTTCAGTGATGGCATCATCCCAGCTGCATGGTTGTCCCAGACAATGCATCTGTCACCACTCGGCCAGCACCCTAAGAGTGGCCCCATCCCAGCTCTGTCCTGGCTGGATATGTCCACAGGGTGCCACCACCATGCAGCCCGGGGTGAGCATGCCCTCTGAAACTCATCGTGGTTTCATGAGAACATTTCATAGAGTCACAGAATCTTTAGAGTTGGAAAGGACCTTTAAAGGTCATCTGGTCCAATTCCCCTGCAATGTACAGGGACATTTACTAACCCATCAGGTTGCTCAGTGCCTGGACCATCCTGGCCTGGAAAGTCTCCAGGAATGGGGCATCCACCACATCTCTAGGCAGCCTGTGCCAGTGCCTCACTGCCCTCACTGTAAAGGACATTTTCCTTATATACAGCCTAAATCTACCCTCTTGATGTTGCTTTGGCTCACACAACCTGTGCAGAAGCCAATGGGGCAACCCTACAGGTGTCTGGCCATCCCGCTGCTCAACCCCCAGCCATTTCCTCAGTGGGAGGGCTGTGACTTGGTGAGATAATCCCCCTGTGCCCAGAGGTTATAGGGGTGAGGAGTTTCTTGCTGCTATGTGTTGTGATGGTCCATCCTACTAGGGCAGGAGGGATGCTGTTCTTTGCTTGTGGTTTCATAGAATCATAGAATCACCAGGGTAGGAAAAGACATCTGAGGTCATCCAGTCCAAACATCCACCTATCATTAATATTTCCCACTAAACCACGTCCCTCGGTACAACATCTAAATGTTTCTTGAACACCTCCAGGGACAATGACTCTACCACATCCCTAGGCAGCTTTTTCCAGCGCTTCTTGTGGTCCCCAGCACACTCCCATGCACTGATTTCCTATGTGATAAAGGAAGGGTAGAAGAGGGCAGCTTGGTCCCATTCCCCTCGCACACAGCACTATGGCAGAGGCTCTGTCACTGGGAGAGGGCACTGGTGGGGAGCAGAACAGGCTGGGGAAGGTGGCTGCAGGCAGGAGGGAGGGGAGAGGGCTGCAATTGGTACCAGATGCCCTCAGAAGCTAATGACCTGACAAACGTTGCGCTCGTAAAACAAATTCTTTAAAAAGGAAGCAAATGGAAATATAAGCTAGTGAAAGAATTTGCAGCAGTTGCCCTGAAACCATTTCTCACTTCATAAACAGGTCTGCATTGAAAAAACAGCCCCTTTTTTCTTGTTCTCCTTTGTGGTCCCCTTCCGTGCCATTCCTCCCCTCTGTCTGTGCCCACCAGCTTTTTGGAGGCTGTGGCCCACAGGTTTCCACTGTGCCTGTGTCCAGATCTGACAGCACATTGCGTTCCCTTTGTGTCCCCGCTGGCAGCAGTTTCTGTGCATTTGTGGAATTCCTGGCCGTGCGTCCTCGGCTGGTGGGGTCGGGCAATGCAAGAGGCAAAGGCAACACAGTGTTTGCTTTTTATGTGCCAAATAGTGCACAAAGCTGTGGGCAGTCCCACGCAAAGCGAGGCTTGGCCAGGGAGCAGGGGGAGTGCTAGGGGGCTGCTGGCATTTTGGCACTGGTACTGCTTGCAGATGGTTAAAAAAGCAAATGAAACAAAACAGTCCTGACCACCAAATGTCCTGGGCATTAGCTTGTGGGAGCAGTTGTGTTAAGCCCTTGTCGTACCCTAATTCCATCCCAGTTAATTCATCCATTGGTGCATTTCACTGATGGAGGACTTGGTCTCCTGGCTAGTGTTGCTCACTGCTCTGGGGTATTTTGTGATGCTTAATCAATGAACAGCAGGTTTTGGCAGGGAACTGCTGTAGTAAGAGCTGCTTGCTTCCTGGGAACAGGTGACACCTTGCAGATCTCCTCAGAACCTGAGATGGTTCAGAGAGGAGGGTTGTTCTTCCCTTATCCATGTCTCACCTTGGTGGCCACAAAGGAGCTTTAGAGCTGGACAGATGCGTGTTGAGGTGGTCTTGTTGCCAAAGAGCCTGGCAGGTAGTTGGAAGGACATCTCATGGTTGGCTCTCCAGTATCTGCAGAGCTTCCTTCTCCAGCTAAACACTCTCCTGCAGTTGGACGTTCGCTGACGGTTCTCCGTTGTCTTGTGTAGGGTTTGACATACATGTTGCCTTTCTAATGGTAGAGGATTTATCATAGAATCATAGAGTCATAGTAAAGCTTAAGTGGGAAGTGACCTTAAAGATCATCAAATTCCAACTGCTGCCGTGAATAGGGTTGCTAACCACCAGACTAGCCTGCCCTTTGCTCCATCCAGAGCTCTGTTCATCTTTCCTTATACATGCATCCATGACCTGCTGAGCATCCCATGCAGGTGCCAGCTAGCCAGTCCCTTGCTGCAGAATGCTGGGAACCTGGGGCTGATCCTTCCCTCTTCTCCTCCGCAGCTGTGCCCATGGTGCCTGCACAGGGCTGGGAAGCTGCACGCAGCCGCTTCTCGCTCACGTCGCCAGCCTGAACTGCTCCTCGGATGGCCCAAGGCACATGGAGTGCTCTGTCACTTGTGAGCAGGGCTTCGTGCCACGCTTTGGCAGCAGGAAGAGCCTGGGCTACGTGCAGGTGAGTACCACCGGGATGGCGGAGACCCCTTAACTGACAGCTGATTTCCAAAGGTTTCCAACCCCAGGCTCCTTGCAGCTTTTCCAGCACATGGTAGTCTAACAGCAGCTCTGATGCTGGACTGCAGTGCTGACTGTCCTGCTTTGCTGTCATCCTCCTGCATCCCCAAGCTGTCCTAAGCTGTTTCAGGCTAAGTGCCACAGCAGGGGACATCTCAGGCCTAGGCAACATGCTCCTGCAGAGGGAGAGGCAGCCATTTCTCTTCTCTGGAAGGGAGGGTTAAACATCCCACGGACATTTTCTCTTTTAAAGTTGAAGTTAGTGGCTTGAGGAAAAAATGAAGTCACTGCAAAGTGACTATATTTAGACAGCTACAGAGAACAGCCTCTGGGAGCTTTTCTTCCTTTGTGCTTTCTTGCCTGAGCCTGTGAGGCAGGGCAGAGGTCAGCATGAAAGGGCTCATCCTGCTTTCCAGAAGGCCAGGATCTGCCTTGTAAAGCTGTGAGCCAGTTCCGCTCTCAGCCAGTGATGAAGAGACCTGGGGCTGGCAGTCCTGAGCGCAGAGCAGCTTGGATGTGGGCAGTCACCTTGGCAGAGCCTTGGACACAGTGTGTCCTATCCTTAACTTATTCCTGGAGAGGGGACCGAAGTCTCCAGGACTGAGCTGGCTACCCCACAAGCCCAAGGCAGAGTGTGAACTCACCCAAATGGAGACAGGCAGAGGTGAATCAGGCCACGGGCACAGGGTGGGTCCTGTTTGCTTCGGAGATCCTCAAGTGCTCTCCCTGTTAGGCACTGGGAAGTGCAGTGATGCAGGAGGGATGCACCCCTCAGCCCTTAGTCACTGGTGAGGTTATTAATTACACGGCACCACAGCTCTGTGGGCCAAGGCAGGCCCTGATCACACAAGGAAAACAAAATAGTATCATCAGACTTGAAGCCACATGAAATAAATCTGCCTCGGGTGACAGTTTTTCTGTGTTGGGCAGCAAGATGGGAAACTTCTGGACAGAGCTTTGGCATTTGGCTGTCATAACTGCTAGCAGCTTACATGTGCCCTGTCCTGAGCCCAAAGTGACCTTCTATGTTGGGTGTGGGAGAGGGCACCCTGGGGTGTTTGATATGGGGCAGTCCTTTCGTGGAAGGGGGAAGACCATGAAAACTTCTATGATGAGTGCTGCTGCAAGAAAAGAGGTGCCACATAGTCCTGTCCTAGTCTGCAGATGAGAGGGAGGAAAGCATGGCACAGCCAACAGGTTGGTTTCCATGCCCACAGCTCCACATTTCCCAGCTCTTGGCTATATGACCCTACATTCCACTATACATCTCCAGGCATTTTTAGGAAGAAATGCACAGCACTCCACTGGATGTCCTCTGCACCATGACCTTGCCATGCACCAAGGAGCACCCACTGCTTTTGGGTTTCAGCAAAATGCATTGGCTGGGAGCACAAATCACAGGTCTGAGTGCACGAGAAGCATGATGTTACTCAGATGAGGAAGGGGCAATGAGAAGAGTTGGAAGAAATCTTTTTTTTTCTGTACACCCTCTTTGGGTTAGGAGTCTGGGGATGGAAATCATAGCACACCATCATGTATCTGTTTTGGCAAGATCAGTACCCTGTATTAGTCATACATAGGGCTGGAACTCCTAGCAGCTGGGACTCAGGTTCTCATGCAGGCCCCCAGCTGTATAATAGGGGCTATGTAATGACAACCTGAAAATGAGATTTTACAAATCTCTGATTTCAGTGAAGTCTGTGGGTATGACAGGATCAGGACATTTGGGGAAGACCAATCAACAGGAGAGGTGCCCATCAACACCTGAGTTAAGCCTTGATCTTGGGGGGAAGAAAATGGAAGTGTGCAGAGCTGGGAATAACTTCTTGCTTAGGAAACTGCTGTGTATTTTCAAGTGCTTACTTTTCCCCTTAAAGTTAGTAAAACACTGCATTAGAGCTCTCTTTCTGGGGTCTGATGGAGACTTGCTTTCTCTGTAGCAGGAGGTGGTGCTGACATGCAATTCGGGGCGGTGGGACCAATCTGTGACTTGTGACCCTGTTGACTGTGGTGTCCCTGACCAGTCGCACGTCTACTATGCGGAGTTCTCCTGCCCCAAGGGGACCACCTACCTGAAGAGATGCTCCTTCTCCTGCATCCACCCTGCCAAACTTCGAGGTACAGTCTGGCATACTGAGGGATTTAAGTCTCCCTTTTTGGTGCCTGTCCAAGGTTGTTCAAGACTGAGCAGTGATATTTTGAATTTCCCAGTTTGCTTCTGCCAACCAGGTGGGCCTTTGAGACCCAAACGGTGGGCACACATCCCTCTTGAGCAGGGGCACCGTGGCATGGGGATACTCTCTGTGATCCCCATTCCTGGTTTGCAGCCCATATTCTTAGGGATGTCTTCTGCTAGCTGGTGAAGTCTGGCTGGCTGTGGCATTACGCAGATGAGTGAAGCAAGAGTGCAGACAAACAGAGAGGATTTCAGAGAACCGCAGATGGCCTGGTGCCTGGCGGCTGTGGGAAATCATGTGGTTCAGCAGGCCTGGGGCCTTATAACGCCATAGAGACTGATGCCCACAGCTGCAGAGCAGTCTCAAGATGTGCACCACCCAGACACACAGCAGTCCTGCAGACACACCACGGCCTGGCTTTCATTCTGCCGACTCCATCAATACCCGCAGGAATGTTTTTAAGCCAAGTCGGAGAAAGAGAGCTACTGTTCCTGTCTATGCAAGGCTGAGCTGGATGGGATTTCGGGGGTAATTGCCTTGACAGCTTCAAGCGCTGGGACTTTATGTGAGTTTCCACCGGTGCCTTCGCTCTGAACAATCGCATACAACAAATCATTTTAATGGGTGCCCTATTTTACGGCGACATTTATAGCCGAAACGCATGAAAATCATTTACTGTTTTTTTAGTTAAATCTAAGGAGCAAAACCGGTGGAGAATTAAGGTCTCGTTTCATGACAGGAGGGAGTGCTGCAGATCCCAGTGTGAGCTGATCAAAGGGCAGCGCCCGAGCGACAGCTCGACGGGCCAAGCTCCACACAGAGCCATGCCGTTGCCTTCCGTGGGTCAACTGAGGGCAAGCATGAAGCTGATATTTCCCTGACAGCCTCCTCTTGTTCCTGCTGAAGTCAACGGGAGGTTTGCCACGGGCTCCCTTGGCGTCCCATCCACGGGTGGCTTCCAGCAGCTGACAGCAGTCCCGGTGGGGCTCCGCCAAGGCCTACAAGGGACTGCCGAGTTGTCGAGGCAGGAACGTGTCTGCTGCTTGTTCTCCCCAACGGCTCTCAATGCTCATAAATACTAAGAATAGGCAAGGAAAGGATTACAAGGCTCCTGTCACGGCACTCGGAGGTGGGGACAGCCCATGCACCACAGCCGTCAGGAATGCTGGCGCTGAGCAGGAGCGCAGCCTTGCCCTTGTCTATGAGCTGTTGTAGGCAGAGAGGTGAGCCTATAAAAAGAAAACGATCCTTGGAGGGAGCGTGGAGCTGTCTGGCTGTACGGTGAACCTGCTGGAGGCCCCGTACAAAGCTCCCAAGAGAAAGCCCCAGTTCTTCAGTTCTACTTTTCTTCTTGCTCAGCAAGAAGCGGCATCCATAGCGTGAGGTGGATGCAGGCATGGGCTCCTCTGGCAGGTCATGTGGGGTGAATGGAGTTGTGCTGAAGGGCCCATGTTTGTGTTTTTGTCATGCACGAAAGTCCTCAGCCCACCAAAGGCTCTCCTCAGGCATCACCAGAGAGAGGGGTTTTAAAGGGGAGCTTGGGGGAAATACTCAGAGCCAAGAACATTTCTCCATCCCTTTGAAGCTGTACAACTGCACATATAATCTTTGTATATATTGCCTCCCATGGTGTCGTTACCACTCTAACAAGAGGATGTGTGCTGGTAGCTCAGATCTTCCCTCAGAGGTTGCTCCAGCGGTGACCCAAACTTTCTACTTCTCTCCTGGGCTCAGGGACGAACCAATGGCTGACGTGCCTGGAGGATGGGCTCTGGTCGCTCCCCGAGGCCTATTGCAAGCTGGAGTGTGATGCTCCTCCTGCTGTGCCCAACGCCAGGCTCCTGGTCCCACGCTGCATGCAGGGCAACCACGACGTGGGCTCTGTCTGCCGCTACAAGTGCAAGCCTGGGTACCACGTGGCAGAGAACACAGTGGGCAAACCTAAGAAGTAAGTCTGGGTTGGGTCTGCTGTCACTTCTCCTTCCTTCTCGTGAACAAAGGTCATGGTATTCTTCTCCATCAAAGCACTGCTTTGGCTGCTGGTAGAGAGAAGCTTGCTCTCATGCTTATTTCTTCAAATACGAGAGGCGTTCCCCCACTTTAGAATAAAGCAGATGGGAACTCCATATAAGCTGCTGTGTATATTAAGTGCCTTAACCTGAAGCATGTGAGTTGTCCGGTGCAGCTCAATGCACTTGCCTCTTGCTGAAAAGCAAGCATGTGCAGAAGTGTTTGCAAGCTCTTGGGTAATTCAGTAGGGATGTGATAAGGTGACAAGTGATCAAAACAGGTCACAGCAGTAGGATTGTAAGAACAAATGACAGCGTTCTGTTGGGGTTAATGTTTTACCCCCTGCACGTCTTGGCTAAATTTGATCTCGAGCGTTTGTATTTCAATTGGAGAAGATTTTCCCAGTGCTTTGGGGAAAAAATTCTGGTGATTCACTACCAACACTGTGATGCTGGAGGGCTGAGCAATGTTTTGTCTGTGACACCTCCAGCTAAAGTCCCCTTGGGTATGGCCACAAAAGATTCTTTGGCACCAGCAGGGTCCTCCCCAGAATCCCAATGCTAGCCCCAATCTGATAATTATGTGCTAATTGTTTAATGCCCTCTTCCAGTTTAAATTGGATGCAGACTTCAGCTCTACTTTGCTCTGGGGTAGGGTTGTTGTGCACTGGGAAGCAGCTGCCAAATTTCTTGCCTGGTAATGAAGGAAGTGGTTTCTGTAAACAGTTTTTCACAGTGTTAGGAGGACCTCTTGGGCCAAGAGGAGCAGAGCAAATTACAACTATGGCTACAGTCACATGGGCTGCTTTGCAAACTGTGGAGCAGCTTGGATGCCTGTGGCATTCAGGCGCTGGAAGTGCAGTTAAATCAACACAGTCCCAGCCCTGCTGCCACCACTGCTGTGGCAAAGGGAGACACTGTGTGTCCCCTGGGAGACCTCGTGCTCTTCTGGTGTGTGTGTGGCACCTGTGTAGGTCAGAACAGCCTGTAAAGCAACCTTGCAAAGGACTGAGTGCTGCACAGGTGCTGATGGGCACAAGAAAGCAAAACTGCTGCTTTTTTTTTATCAGCCTCCTGCAGTGCCTTTCTCCTACATGTTGTGTAGATCACCACAGCTACTATGTCTCTACTGGCAGTCCAAGCCCTGGGACTTTGCCCTCTGGCCTGAGCCCTGTCTGGAATCTGGCTGTCTCTACCCAAGCCCAAATGCTCTTGGATGCAGATGTGATTCCCTCAGCTCTGTTCTTTTAGGTGAACACTACTGCAGGGGCAGGCACTCATTCAAGGATGCTCAGAAGGCTCCTGAAAGTTTGGTTGAAGTTCATATCCAATAGCATCAGTGGAAGAGAAAGAGGATGACAGAATATGTTTTTTTCAGAGAAGATGCTCTTATCTGTTAACTTGAGTGAGGAAAAGCCCCTGGCAGATCAGTGCTCAGTCAACAAGGGATCCCTGAGGGAATGCTGATTGTGTAATTAAATCCTGCCAGAGATGTGCTGCCTTTTTGCTGGCAGGATCTCTTGACTGATATGAAGAGCAGAAGCTCCTTCAGTTCTTTCCAAAGGAGATCTGTTTTTAGGCTGGAGAGCTCAAGGAACAGCCTGCTTTCATTAGCTGAGCTTTCACACCCAGATCCCAGATAACAGCAGCAAGGGGAGCTGTATGTACACATGCTTTGTGACAGGAAGTCTGGTCTGGGGCAGGGACTAGGCAGCATCATTGCACCCATCTGAACCACCAAGAGCAACAAACCACCAAAGCCTCAAAGTCACATAGTTAACAGGAAAATGAGCATGGCTTGCACCCCACATTGCTCCCTGGTGTCACTTCTACTGCTAAGAGCCTGAAGCATGTGCTCGAAGCAGCTCTCCAACAGCAGCATCTGAGGCATTCCTCCTGAGGCCATCCTGTCATAGAATCACAGAAAAATGTAGTGGCTTGGGTTGGAAGGGACCTCAATGATCATCAGGTTCCAACCCCCCTGCCACAGGGGCCAAGCCCCTGCCCATACCCCTTTGGAGGGGTACTGTGTTGCAGGGGTAATACAGTGAGGTGGGAACTGGAAAACCCAAACCCTGGAAAGATCTCTTCAGCTCCTTGTTTGCTTTCCCCAGTATGGGATGATTCTTGGAAAGGTCTCGGAGACACCTTGAGGGAATGAAGCAAAAAAGAAACCAGGTCTTTTTGTCTCCTATTCCTGCTTGCTCCCTCCCTCCCCATGACCAATTCCTGGGATGAGCCCTAAGAAGCTGGCAGGACTGTCAGGAGATGCACTGGTGAGACTGAGGAATAAATGCCCTTCACCAAGATCAAGGGATCCGTGAGACAGCCCAGCCCCATGGAGATGTCAGCTCCTCCACCTCTTGCCCTCTTCAAAGACAGCAGCAGGCTGGTGGAGACCATGAGGGAGAAAGAGGAGATGGGAAACATGGATGGGAAGGTGGCCTGGAAGGAATTAGCTGGCTGAGGGCTGGAATGGCATCAGAAGGACGGCAGCGGGCAAAGCAGGACAGCCCAGCCCAGGGATATCACAGCCTAGCAGGGCACTGGGCCATGCACATTTGTGGTGGGTACAAAGGTGCAGGATTCTCGCTTCTCCTGCCCACATCTGGCCCCTTCCAGATAAAAGACAAACACGCAGGCAGCTGGGAGAGCCAAAAGCCAGGTAAAGAAAACAGGCTGTCAGCTGGGCTCCTTGTCATTTCCACTTCTAAGACTTTTGATAAAGATTTATTGCCAAGGTTGCCCAGGCTGTAGAATCCTTACAAGCTAGCCTTGCTTTCTTTTAACTTCCCATCAAATCTCCCTCCTTCCTCCCCCTCTTTTCTGAAGCCACCAATCCCCTGCCATTGGAGATGAGGTGGCTTTGGGCTCATTCCTGTGTGGTGGACCCCAGCCTGGGGCTGGAACCCAGCCATGCTCCTGCTCCCACAGCCCTGGGGCTGGATGGGACTCGTGCCTTCACATTGGGTGCAGCCCCAGGCATCTCCTGGTCTCCTCTCCCCATCAGACATCACGCTGCCCAGCTGGAGGGGGAAGCGTTGACTCTGATTTTCCTGGCTTCCTCATTAATCCTTGCAAAATGCCTCTAAGCCAGATCAGAAGGAATCAGGGGGCCTGGAAACTTCAAGCTGCTTCAAGGTATTTCTTATTTTATTTATTTTTTGTAAAGCCTCTCCCTTCCCTCCTACATGCCTGAATACAAGCTTCATATGTGCAGCAGTGGTCCACATGCCCTGGGGTTTGAAGGTGCAGAGCCAGTGGGGCAAGCCTCCAGCAAGGAGGGATTCCAGTCCAGATCTGGATGGGCTGTGGAGGGACAGGGAGAGATCATGCATGAGGCTACCCTGGACCTCAACAGTGACCCTCAGTGAGGGCAATGGGGCTACAGTGTACGACACGCATCTTTGCAAAGACCATAAGGTGCCTCTCCCCAGCCATCCCCAGCTCCATGCCAAAGGGCCCCTGTTGCAGGTCAGAAGAGCAACAGTGGCATGTAGTGGCTGCATCAGTTATACCTAGGTGTCCAGGTGTGCTGCTGCTTTGAGAAGGGGTTTTGATCAGTGCTGGAGGCTTTGTACCACTGCTTTGCTCCTATTCCCTTAAAGCCATCAGCTTAACCTCTGGTGTAGCTGCAACACAGCAGTGCAAGGAAAGCCCTTCTCTGCTCTGACTTACTCCATGTGCCAGGCAATGACAGAAGGGGAAACTGCTGCTTGAGGTGTTGGACAGAGCAAAGTGTTCAAAGCAGTGAGATCTGATGGGGATGTCTTTGAAAGGCGGTGAGCATCATCCTGGTGGAAGGGGCAACAAGCAAGAGCAAGAAACCAGCAGTGGTTTCTGCAGCTGAAGCTGCAGATGTCCACTGTGAGATCTAGAGATGTTTCTCACCTCCACCCTTCCAAGATTGGATGTAGTTTCAGTTCTCTTTGGTCAATTCAAGGCTCCTGCTTGAACTGGGGACCCTCCCATGTCCCCTTCCTTCCTTTACCTTCCCCATGTTACTGCTTGTGTTCATCAGAGCAGGAAACATCTGCCACTTCTATAAAGTCTCTAGAAAAAAAAATCAGGTCTCTGACTTCTGAAAGCAGAAGGGGATTCTCAAAGATCTTCAAATATTTAAAAAGACAGGAATGTTTTCAAATGACTCCCAAATGTCCTGTCCAGCAGCACCCAGCAGAAACATACACACCTACCTTGGGGTCAGGCAGACACTTGTCTACAGCATGGTGCTGCCTAGGATCATGGGTCACTTCTCCCCGTGTGCACATGGTCCTCCAGCCTTCTGGGTTGGCTGAGTGTCCAGGCAAGCAGAGCAGGGTGCATGAGTGGACATGAGAAGTGGGGGTTGACCTGATTGAGACATCACTAAGCCCACTGCATTGTGCTCTGACAGAAAGGAATGGCCACTGTCCCCACTGCTGTGGTGCATGGTGTGAGCACTGCTGGCCCCAGGAAGGAGCTCAGAACAAGGGCAATGTAGTGCCACCCTGAGGGGTTTCTGCAACTCAGCTCTGGACGTTAGATTCCCTCTTCAGGGTGCCCGGAGCCCTGCTTGCTGGCTTTGGCAGCTGGAGTGAGCAGAGGTAAGCAGCAGGCATGGGCATCTGGTGGGAGTGATGCTACAGAAAGGGAAAAGATGAAACAAGAACCGAAGAACCAGCACAGGTAAAACTCATCAGCACTGTAAAAAGCCATGTGTCAGTAACTGGATCAAAGGAGTTGGACTCCATGATCCTTACAGGTCCCTCCCGACTCAGGATGCCCTATGATTCTATGATGTGTCCCCAGCTTGCCCAAAGCCCCGGGGTTTTCATGCTTCTGTGCAAAAGATGTGAAGTCTGTCTTGCTGCCAAGGCAAGAGGAGACAGAGAAGCGGGTGGGCTCTGCTCCTGGCTTTTCTTTCCCCTTCTTTTTCATCCTCTTTTTGGCAAGGAGTTCACGCTGGGGCCGTTTCAGCAGTGCAAGCTGGTGTTGGTCTGCTCCGGTGCGGCAGCTCCTTGGCGAGAGTGGGATTGACAGCTCTGGCCGGCGTACAAAGAGGAGCCTCAGCAGGGCTGGGCATGGGCCAGCAGGATTTACAGGGAAGGCTCGCTCCTCTGGCAAAGTATGCAGCTACTGGCGGCTGGACAAGGCAGCCGTGCACGTACCCGCGGGGGCTGCGGGCAGGGAGAGATCATCCGGAGGTGTTACAAAGGATGGAGAGGGATGGGAAGCACAGGAAAAAGTGTCTTGGGCTCCAATACCAGTGCTGTGGGAAGCACGAGAAAAAGTGCCCATGACTCCTGAACTATAAAATCATTAAGGCTGGAAAAGATCACTAAGATCATCTAGTCCAACTGTCAACCCATTGCCATCACGCCCACTAAATCAGTGTGATGGGGTGGTGGGCAGCGTGAGAAGTGTCCAGGATTCCTAAATCAGCACAAAGGGAAGAAAATGTCCTGGTTGAGCATAGGTTATCATAGAGAGCAGCACGGGAAAGCCCCATGCATGGGGGTTTCAGAACCAAGAAGGATACTTTCTGGAATCTGCAGCCCAGCTTTCTTTCCATCTCTCTCCTCAGGAAATTCCTAAAGGTGCAGTGCCTGGAGAGCGGGCAGTGGGAAGAGGGACGCTGCGTCCCTGTGGTGTGCGAGCCACCCCCACCAGTATTTGAGGGCATGTACAACTGCACCCAGGGCTTTGAGCTGGACAGCCAGTGTGTCCTGAGCTGTGAGCCACCAGGATCACGGGTGAGTGATGGGACGGATGGGGGTCAGCCACGCGTTGCGCTTCAGAGTACTGCAAAATAGCAGAGCTCGGGATGTTGGGGCATTTGGGTACCAATAAAAGCAAAGCCAGAGCTCTTCTCATTGCTGGATACAACTGTAGTGATGTGGGTGCCATTCATAGCATGGGACGCATCCCAGCTTAGGATGTCTCCAGACTCTGGTCTCTCTCTCCTCTCCAGGTCCCTATTGTCTGCACCAAGGAGGGCACGTGGACAGAGGAGTTCAAGCTGTGCAAGAGCCTGCAGGGCACCTGCCCACCACCCCCAGAGCTCAACCTCGTGGAGTACAAGTGTGAGCAGGGGCACGGCATAGGTGAGGGCAGGAGAACACCCTGCAGAAACCCAGACCCCGTGTTGAGTCAGCCATCCAGGAGAGCCAGCTGGAAGGTCACAGTGACTCTTCTACTTGGGCCAATTCCCATTAAATCTATGAGACAATTGTTTTTTCTTCAATCTCTTCTTGAACACAGAGCCCTAGGGTGGCTTTTGCCCTGTGCATCCCCTAGTAAGTTAGAATTGGCATCAGCGTAAGCAGTTCTTCAGAAGCAAGGACTGACTTATCTCTAGGGCAAGCCCAGCCCTCTGCAGTGCTTTATCTCACTCTCCAACTCTCAGTCCCACTGCAGCCTCTGCACTTAATGTGACTGCTGACATCTGCAGGGTTAATGGGGCAGGTCTAAGATAAGAGCTGGAGTGACAACTGTGTCTAACAGGGTGCTTTCACCAGACGAGGGACCACATCATCCATTTCTTTCTAAAAGACTTGGTTGTTTTTCAGCTGCAATGCTGTCACAGTCATTACATCCCACCTGGCATCACGCTGGATGGGACATTAGTTTAAATCCCAAAACTGGCTGAGGTTCAGCCAAGGGTAAACTTGGGAAAGACCTGATGTGAAGCTGGGATGGAGGTTGGGACCCACCTGCTTTGCCAAGTGGGAGTTTTACAGCTTTTTCTCCTCCTAGGTCATAGGAAGTCATGGTAGAAGAACTGTTAGAAGTACTTTCTGACACATCAACAAGCAGCCGTAATATCTAGGCCAGACATGTTTTCATGTTGGGTCCTACATCTTGCCATCATGGCTTGGGTTCACCTACTCAGTCATGTTTACGTGTTACCTCATTCAGGGGAAGGGTATCAGCTGCAAAAAGCTTCTGTAAACTCTTGCATAAGTCAAGGCTGGGGGAAGAAATTGTCAACTGCTGGTAGGCAAAGGATCTCCTTCAGTGAGGAGCTGGCACGTTGGCATCTGGCACTGTTCCACAGCAGGCAGTCACCTGGCTCCTGCTGCAATCCCTCAAGGCTGTCTCTCCCTCCTCAGGTGCTGTGTGTGTGCCTTCCTGCATTATCCCCCCCAGCGATCCAGTCATACTGCCTGAAAACGTTACTGCTGAGACTATGGATCACCGCCTGCAACCCACCAGAGTCCAGGTACGTGAGGAGGGAGCTGCCCAGGGAGGTGGTGGAGTCACCATCTCTGGAGACATTCAAGAAAGGTGGAGATGTGGCACCAAGGGATGTGGTCAATGGGCATGGTGGGATGAGTTGGGCTTGGTGATCTTAGAGGACTTTTCCAACCTTATGATTCTGGATGTGCAGTTGCTGGGCTTAAACACAGCGGCAAGCCCTTCATCAGTGAACTTTGGTCCTTGTGAATGTTACCCACAGCACAGCATACATATCAAATCTCTTCTGTAACGCTGCTCTTTGTCCATCTGAACCCTTTCTGGGTGTATCTCTGTGGTGCTGATGTAGTAGCTGGTGATGGATGCATGTAGATATTCAAGATCCCCTCTTCCTAGTCTTTGGTTAGCCCTGGTGGAGGTCCCTGTAGTGACCTCCATCTCCCCAGATACATCTTGGACTTGCTTCACCCAGGTCAGCAGAGGCCATGCCTGTTCTCTCTGCACCATGCCTGCTTCATCTGATGTCATGAGGCTTCAAGCTGATTCTTCTGGTTCATAACCAGTGCCCAGGTCCTCAGTATTTCTTCCTCCTCTTCCACACACTGAGGATGCTACTACACAGCCTCCTGCCCTCTGAGACCAAAGCTCAGTGTAAGCTACTGGCTGTAACGTGTGCTTTCCAGGACTCGCAGGATACCTTTGTGAATGAAGCTAAACGCAGGAATCCTGCTGACTTTTGGGATGTGCCACACGCGATTGGCAGCCAAGGTACTGGGATGACAGAGCACAGACCAGAATTCACTCCTGGCAGAGGGCAAAGCACAAGCCCTGGTCCTTGAACACCTGGCAGCTGCAGTGCAGCCCTGGGCAGCGTGTCCCTGCCAGGGAAGAGGCATTGCCATCAGCTGGGAGCTGGCTCTGCTGCCAGGACTGCTGGCCACCCGCTCGCCTCTCCCTCCCCATCCCTTACTCATTCTGTAGGCAAAACAGCTCAAATAGCTCACATAGTTTGGATCTCCGTGGCACTACTTTCCCAAAATGCAGCTCCAGCGGGGTAATATTTCTAAAATAAAACCAAGATGCAGAAGGAAGGAGGTGGAAGAAAGGAAAACAAACAGTCCTTTTGGGAGCTGGCACCCCTATCCAGGCCTTGCCCTCCCCCTAGGAAGCCGCAGGAGGCCCAGCAGCATCCCCACTCCATGTCTCCATGCCCTTACAGCAGCAGGATGCCCGTGGCGTGTGGGATTGTGGAGCTTGAGTCTTGGACAGATCACCGGGTGGCTTGGCCACAGGTTCTCATGCAAGGGAAACATTTTGGAGAAGTGAAGAGTTGTGTTATTTTAAACATTGGCACTACCCCTAGAAGCATCTCTGTGCATGGTCTGCCTTGCTTTCTTCTCTACCTCCTGCTGTGCTTGTGTTCCCAGGAGCTGCCACACTCCCAGGGTGATGGGGAGGATGCGACAAAACACACTGGGGCTGCAGAGGCTGCCTGGGGAGGGCACTGCTGTTTTTTATGCTCTCATTCATCACATCCCACAGCCAAGAAGGTCTGGGAACTCATTCAAGTTGTACAGCAACCGCATACAACACATCCAATGGGGTTGGGATCCAAGCGTCCTTTGGGGTGAGCAGGAATTGCTCTCTCCACCCTCTCTGTCCCATCCCATCACAGCTGCCTTCCCTGCTCTGGCTGAGGACATTACCTTGCTCTTGGCAACCCGTTGGGTTGGACTGAAGACTTGGAACAAGAAGGAGCTGAAAAGTACAGTAGAAACACAGGGGTTTGTCTGCTGCCACTTGCAAGGGTGCTACTACCACCCTGCTCTCTGGCCACCAGTCACGACCCTGGAGTACATGGGAAGCGGATGGAGATGCCACCAGCCAGCCTGCAGCTCCATCATCCCTCCCATCACATACAAACCCAGGAGTAAAGCACCCCATGAAAGCAGATTGAGGCAGAAATGCTTCATCCCATGCTGAGGATGCTGGAGCCACATTGGTGGAAGAAAGACGTGTCCATCCATGTAACGGCCATGCTGTGCAGGGCATCCTAGGACACTTTTATAGGCCAGCCGTCATTTTATGGGGCCTCAGATTTCAAAGCTTGCTTGAGCTTTACAAGGAGGAAATTGCCTGTGTGGTGGGGCTTTTCTTCCCCCATATAATCATGCGTGCTCTCAGCATCCCCCTTCTGAATTATGGGGACGGAGTGTTCCAGTTAGATGAAACTCAGTCCTCTGCATTCAGTTCTCATGTCCAGTTGGCTGCAGCTGCTGACTTAAAACCTCATAAATACCTCTGCGGCGTGGGTGAGCATGAAGCTGGTGTATCCAGACCAGCCAAGTCCAGGGAGTTGAGTCCCCAGGTGTCTCCCTCATGGACACAGCTCTTGGAGCTGTACAGGGTGCATTGATGCTGGTGTCCAGGGACAGCTGGCTGGGACATGAGGCTGGTGCAAGTGGGAAGCTACTAAATGCAGCACGGTGTGTTGAGATGAATGGAGGACTCCATCTGTGGTGGTCCTGGATGGCTACTTCCCAGCTTGGCTGCTGCCTACCATGTGTAGTGCTGCCAGCCAAATCCAGATTCTGGTGATCCCTGCCATCTCCCCTTTTCCTCTCCTGTGTGTTCATATATATACATAATACATGCATCTATCTGTTATCCAGGCTCTGCTTTGAGCAATGTTGTCTGGTTTGTGGGCGAAGCTTGGGTTCAATAAGCTCCAAAAGGTTTCCTCTGGGTAGAGATGCAGGAAGGTCCTAGGACTGATCGCATTGCTCTGCCTTGTGAAGTTCCACAAGAGACCCTACGCCTCTGGGAGCGTGCTTGTGTCCTCCCTCCACCATCTCCCTAACTGTTCTTTTCTCCCTCCTCCACAGCACATCGTATGCACGGGCAGGCTGCAATGGTACCCAGACCCCTCTGCCATCCACTGCATCCAGTCATGTGAGGTAAGCTCCCTTTCCCAGCACATGGGACAGCTCCAGCCCTGCGGACGTGGGGTCTTTATGACCAGATGAGGTCTGCGATGGGTTGGCATAGTGGAGGTCTGCGATGGGTTGGCACGGAAAAGGTCTGCTGGTGTTTCAGTGTTTTGGCATTCATCTGGAGCATGTGGCCAGGGCAATGCTGGGGGTGAGCTGCAATGCGCCGCGTGGCCACAGAATGGGTCCAGGGCTTCGTGCCGCGTTTCCTTCCTTGCACTCCTCTTGGCCAACCCGGGAAGAAAATTCTAGCAAAAGGATTTCACTGGCAAGGGGTATCCCCAAAAAGCGCGTGCTGACTCCAAGCCTGAATATTTCCTTAACCAGAACTGCAGTTCTAGAGTAATACGGGTCCAGAAAAGCCCTGCGTGACTCACGCGTCCAACCAAAACAAGAAGGATTTCCAGCGTCGTGTGTGCAAAACAAACCGCTCCCCAAGAATCTGCAGACAAAGAATTCTTTGCAGAAATTGGTTAGCCACTCATTTGGTTTTGAATAATTACCCGGCAAGAGAAAATCATAGGCAGCCTGGAGTCGGTTCACAAAGGAAATGAAAAATAGGCAGTCTTTGTCGAGCACGATTTGTTATTATGATTGAGGGTAAAAAAAAATAAAAGGGGGAGGGGGGAAGGGCGAAGAGGGAATTTTGGAATGTTGTCTGCTGAAAATTTGGGATTTCTACCAAAAAGGAAAATGTAAATGAAGTCTACACACCAAAAATAGCTTTGGATTTTGCTGATTTTTTTTTTTTTTTTTTAATGCACTCATTTCAATGCAAATGATCAGGTTTTGCTCGCTAGTTCTGCCTAGCTCAGCTCTTTGTCAGCTGAAAGGTGGAATAAAGGGCAGCACGTGTGACCGTGTGTGACCGTGTGGCCTAGATGCTGCAGTGGACACATCCCCAGGGAGTAAATGTGCTTGGCAGGACGTGCAGCAGTTATCTACCAAACCTGGTGGCTTGTTGTGTCTCACACCTGTAATCTGTAAGGCAATGGGCTGCTGCGTGCTAGAGAGGAGTTGGATGGTTGAGTACCAGAGCTCAATGCTGGATCCAGTGTCTTGGGAGCTCCATGTCTTCTAATGCTCAGCTCCAGGGCAGTATATTTGAAGCAGGAAGGTTTTGTGGCTCACCTTGGGTCTGCGTCTTCAGTGTGAGATCCCATAGAGGATGATGGAAAAATGCCAGCTTGTTTGTGTGCGTGAGAGAGAGGCACTGACTCTAAAATCCCAGTGTCTCGTAGCAGTGCTCTCTGTCTTCTCGTTAGCCACCTAAGCATGCTCACGGTCAACACAAACTCTGTTTGTGGATGTTGTCATCCTCATTTACTCCTAGGGAGCATTCCCAGACAAGAGTTGTAGCCTACAGCTATAACTTAAGCAAGCCAAAACCTTGCAGTGCCCTAAAAGCAGATAGTCTACTCTTGTCATTACTATCATATACTTTTCTACACCTTTTCTGCTTTTAATTTCTCTTCCAGTAGAAATGACTGAGCAGTACACGCTCTTCCAGCTGCAGTCTCACCAAATCCCTGCACAAAGCCTATGTGTAAATCTCTTTTGATAAGACCCAGGAACGTATCTGTCATTTCTGCAGTTGCATCAGTCTGGCAGCTCAGAGAGACCTGAGGTCAGCAAGTACACCCAGATCTTTCTCTGCATCCTTTGTTTCCAACTGATGAGCTCCAAGCTAACAGCAGATGTTTTCCTATCAGCAGAAGAGCTTGCCCTTCAATTTTACACAAGTGAATGTCATCCTGTTTCTCTCCCTAGTCCTCAGGTCATCTCTTTGTCAGATATCCTGATCCTCCTCTGTGGAACAATGCCTTCCTCCTTGTTAGCAATTTCATCAGCCAGGCCTGTTTTTAAGGTCACAGTCACTCACTGCAATACTAATGAAGATTCATCCTTCGGGTTGTTTTCTTTGCCCTGATGCTTTCCTTTCAGAAACAGCTCACAGCCGCCTCCTCCTTGCTTTCCTCCTTTCTTCTCATGTCTTTGATTACTCTTTTTGTGGGACTGATAAGCCAATCTTTTAATACATGCTTTATGGTAGACATTATATTGCCACAGCTCTTCCCCAAAGGTATAGCTCAGAGGGGTGCTAGGCACTGGGAAGTTGAGAAGCATTACCAGTCCACTTCTCTGACCAAAGGAAGTGCCCCAAACTTAGTTTCCATCTCATCTGACAATGAGAGTAGGGTATGGATGGAATACAACCCATAATCTGGCCTTGCTGCATGACATCCCCCACTCATCCCCGTGTCTCCTTCATCTGCCTGCACAAGGAATCTTCTGCTTTTGGAGCTCCTTCTGGGTTTGGCGTGGTTCAGCTTGACTTGCCAGCTGTGTGGGACATCTTAGGCCCAGATTCCTCCCTGTCTAGCAGTAATGCCTCATTGGAGGCACCTCTTTTGGAGTCCAGCCTCTACTCTCCATGCTGTTCCAGTGGCCTCTCCACGTCCCCTCAAGTCTGAATCACCCTTTGGAGATGCTGTTGTCTCTTACTGAGTGCACTGGATGAGGAATTGCTTTCATCTGGCTGCCTCGTTCAGGGAACAGCCCTATTCAGGAGAAGTGCGGTGCTCCTGGCTGCTGGCACGGTCCCTCCCCACAGGGTCCTCTTCAGGCTAAGGCACAGTGAGCAGCAGCCAAGCCCAGCTTTGACCAACCCAGCCCCACCTCGCCAACCTCCTGCTGGAAATTTCAAGTCACCAAGTAATGGCATCAGTGAGATTCTCGCTCATCTCCCTCCTCCGCTGGCAGCAGACCAGCCTGCCTGCTCATCCCTCTCACTCCTCTCCCCACCTCCCTTCCCTTTCCATTAATCTGGCCATCCATCTGCCTCCTGTCTCTCGCTGCTCTGCGCCAAGTTCCCCATCCCCTCCGTGCGGAGGCACGTAGTTCAAGGAGAAAAGGAGTGATGTGAACCCTTCCAGAAGCCCATCAGGAATACGAGTTAGCACCGAAACGCTTTGCCTCTCAAGGGCCAGCGGAACATCTCATCCCCTTCCATCAGTAGGAAAACAGATGGCAGCACTGGATGGAGAGGGGAGGGGGCTTGGGGCTGGGAGGAGGAGGAGGGAAACTGCTTGTCCCCATTGCTGACCTGGTGCTGTGTGAGTCCATGCATGAGGGTAGCTAGTAGTGTTTGTCACACCGGAGAAAGCAAAGCAGTCTTCAGCCCACCAGCTCTGCACCTTCCTTACCCCCACTGCAGGAGGAGAACACTGTGGTTCAGGTGGAAAAGCCCACCTCTTTTATCACCGTCATATTCATAGGATGGAGTAAGACCACCATCCTGAAGAAAAATGTAGGTGATCAAGCAGACATGGGCAGGCAAGTTCTTCTGCACCATTTCCACTTGCACAGGTAGCAAAGGGTTAATTGTAGCAGGTGTAGGCACCTTTTTTGCTTTCTTAGTGGGGAAAACACAGGGTTCTGGAGCTGGCCTGAGCTCTCAGGCTCTGCCTGCCCTGCCTAAGGCCTCCCGGCTGGGCTCTGAGCAGCCCTGCTGGGGGACAGCCAGGGACATCGGCACGAGGCCACCACGGGTGATAGCAGCCCATGGCAGGAGGCTGTGGCTGGCGCGAGCTGCCAGGGATTTTGCAGGTCTTTCCCCCATGAGGACAAGGTCTCGCTGCCCTTGCGTGCGCTGCCGATCATGTTATCACGATCGTAAAATGCTAAGCTGCTCTCTCTTTTGTGGTTTTCCTGAGTAATTGCAGTGGAAATTATGAGTTAGGGATGGAGGCGTGTTTGTGGCTGCAGGCTGTTCTCGCCTCTCGTGACTCAACAGGTAGCTGGGACCCAATGGGTCCTCTGCTCTTCTCAGTGCTGTGCACAAAACCCTCCCTTGGCACCTCCATGGCTTGCGTCCAGCATTTGGCAGCCACAGTTAACCCCTCCGACAGCATGTACAATAAAGACGGGGAAATCTCACCTAAAATCAGAGTCCCAATGTAACTTAATGCAATGGGGGATAGGATGGGACCCTGAGGAAAATGGGGCCTCTCAGCAGGTGGCTGCCTCTTCTCCACATTCATGAGACATTTTGCTGCCACACCACAGGAGCTCTTGTGTGACACTGTGCTCAGCACAGGGAACCAGACAGAAGTATAATACTGGAAGAGGCCTCTTCTGTGCTCCTGGCCCGTAGGGCAATGGGGTGCCCCAGCTGCTCTGAAAAGCAGCCAGGTATCTCAACACGGCCATTTAAATTCACTCTCACTGGCTGCCCAGGGAGGTGTTGGAATCACCATCCCTGGAGGTGTTCAAAGAGCCGTGGAGATGTGGCACTGAGGGACGTGGTCAGTGGGCATGGTGGGGGTGGGTTGACCATCAGACCATGACTGACCATGGCAATCCTAGAAGCCTACTTCAACCTTAATGCTCCCTCCATGGGAGCATTTTGTGACTCCGTTATCCAGTCTGCCCTCTTCCTCTGTCTGCCACCTGGCCTTGGAAGTGTGGAGAAGATCCTTCTGCAAGAAGCAGGGTGACTACTGTTCCTTCAGGTGTTCCATCAGAGCCCATAGCCCCATGTGCTCCAGGTGAGCACACACCTAACAAGTTGCCCAAGACTCTGGCACATTCCCATGTAGGACAGTGTGTGCCATGTCTCAAGAGAATGTGGTGAAGCAATCCATGTGACTAAACTGCAGTTTGTGGTCATCGTGGGCTCAGACGCAGCCCTGGGAGGCAAGCAACTCTTTAGAGATGGAGCTTTCTAGATACCTGCTGGGCACATCTCCATGCTGCTTACCTCTGGCTGTTGGCTGACCTAGCACAGATTGCTTCTCCTCCAGCATTCCCCTGAGGTGTGCTTTTCCTGCCCTGCACACAGGTAGAGTTTGTTTTCCTAAGAGGCAAAGCAAATGGAAGGGCACCCAGAGACCACACAGCAGCACTATGCCAGGGACAGGCTGCAGAGCCCCACGTCCTGCTTTCTTCTCTCAGACATTGCCATC